GTTATGTCACTTTATAACATTATATGCAAGCAGGGGCATCATCTGTGTCCCATGGACACATTCTTCATTTATTTGACTTAGTTTGTAATCAAGTAATGTGCTATTTAGCTATAACAATGTCTCTGTACATATTACTAACCATAGTCAGCATAGCAGTGGGAAAATAATGCATGTAAAATGGAATCTCATAAATTCTCTTCTGAGGCCTCAGTAGCAGACATATTCCTGATTATCTGACAACTAAGCCAATATTTTATAAATACTGTTGATTGATGATTTTAACTCCGTCCCTCGCTGCTAGTAGTTCTGGAATTGTCCTCTGATTAATCAAATCATAAAGCCAGGTTGTCATAGTGAGGTTTATAAAGATATCCAGGGAATTTGCTTCTATTCTATAACTCATCATATACAGACTGCAACTGCTGAGTAAGGAGTTTGAGCAGTTGTAAAAAACTCAGCAGTTTCCTAGATAATGTTATTTTGTAGTAGTATAGTGAATTGTATCTCAGATTTTTAAGATTAATATTAGGTACATGGTAAAAGGGACATAATTCAAACATTTTATTCCAACTATATTTTGGAATTATGTTAAAATCATTAAATGGCCAAGTATATATTAAAAAGACATAATTATCAAGATAAAGAGGACAAGAATCCAAGGGGGCAGTCAAAGATCACCAGTCGAGATAGCAGCATGCAGACAACAATGTTGACCAAAAATTAAAACATAACAATTAAATCTGCCAAATATTACGCAGAAAAATAAAAGATGGAGCAACCTGAACACAGAGGATAATAATGTACAAGGTACCAAGTCTAAGATTTATTTAGTCTGATTCTAGTTTTGCTTCATTTTCATCTTATGTTGTCTGACCTCTGTGTTGTTCCACACAAGAGAAACTGACCCGTTCTATTGAAATGTACTTTGATGTAGTAAAAATTGGGAGAATTGAAACTTAACTATATATTTCAAATGCAATAAATTATTTAAAATATTTCCAAAAAATATCTTGAGGTCATTTCCAAAATAAATTTTTATAAATTTTATATCTCTTAAATTGAAACATTAATTTTTTTTCCCTCACATAATTTTAAGAATATATATATTTCCTGAATTAATGTTCTATTTTCTGTACTAATTTATTCATGAGGTCAATCTCTTCCATCATAATTTCTTATACATTCATTGTAATGTATGACATTAGAAATTGAACTTCAAATAACAAAACTGGTAAAAAGAACCCAAAATAATTATAATTGCTTCTCAAGGGGATACCGTTTTTCTTCTTCAAAATTGGTTAAAAAATGACTTCATTATTTTGAATGCTACTTGTGATATGTATTGCAATACATAAATTGATATCTTTATTTATTTTGGAACAAGGAATTAAAGGGCTCAAGAATGTAAAAAAAGTTTGCCTGATAAATGTGGCTCTGAGGTAAAAAAAAAATAATATAAACATAGCTTAAACTGGTTTCATAAAAGGTTTAAAGTTATTAAAGAATTTATTCTGAAAATTATACTTGTACTTCCACATGACTGATTAATTGAGAATTTATGAGAATTGTTAAAAGGAAGTTAATGAAATTCTATCTTAATTTGATCCTGCATATTTTTAATAGCTTTCATACCTGCATAGATAAACAGGAAATTTTTCACAGAAGTCATTTAAGGGACAATTTAGTGTTCATTGACACGAAGTCAGGTGTTACTAGGTACATGGACATTGACCAGGGGATATTTTGGTTTTATGGTGGATATCTGACCATCATCCTTGGACCTAAGTAGGCCTTAGAATTCATAATCATGTACATTTCTATAACGCATTCATAGACAAGAAAGAACTTAGTGGGTCACTTTAAGGTGAACAATTTACAGCAATTTTCTTCATTGATGTTTTTTCACAGTGGACAGGGTTTATGTGTCGTTTTCAAGTTAAAAAAGAATAATTGATGTCTATTTCAGTTCATGTTAATATCTAATTATCATTCAAGCAGGTAGAATGATAATTTTGACTTTTCAGCAATTTTATACTAACAATTGAAATGGATTATTGCTGGTAATTGAAAAATGTTCACACTGAAATTGCCATTAAGTGGCTTGGAAATTGAAAATTTATGATGTTCTCAGAATGTTTGCCTTTCTCATAAGACAATCTGCCATCAGATATGATAGTTAATTTGATACTAACTTTATTGAATGGATCAAATTGACAAGCATTCATTTCATTTTGTGTATAAAGATGTATCACAGTCTGATGGGTAGTCAGTCGATTAATTCGGATATTAATTTAGATATGCTGTGCATTATCAACATAGCAAAATAAAGTGTTTTTTTTTCTTATTTTGGGAAATTTGGTGGTGTAAGCAGATTTTTTATATCAAATATGTTATATATACTAATAACTGAAACTTCCAACTTGAAGCTTTAAAGGTTATCCAATGCCATCATGTTACTGTCTTATTCTAAATACATGAAAAGAGGGGGTGCTCATTTCCATAATCTGGCTTTCTTTTGTAATTTTTCCCCATATCCCTCCTTTTTTTTCCCTTCTTTTTCACAGATCCCACTTTATTTTACCCCCTATATCTTGCATCCCAAAAGTGTGCCATCACTCTCTTACAGCACCCTTGATTCTTGACAGGTCCATGGGCAGCCTGATATCATAGAAAATTCTGACCAAACAGTGGGTCTGGATTTCAACCATTCTATAAAATACTAAGATAATTACCAGCATATATATATCATTAAGAAACATTTTTTGCTGTTTTTCATTTTGTCATGATTTTGTCTGTTTCTCTTCGACTTGTGGGTTTTGAGTGCCCCTTTCGTGTCTTCCTCCTCTTTTTTTGCAAGAAGCCCTTTACACCTTACAAGATAAACTGATGATGGCCCGTGACTTAATTAGTATGCTTTCATTTTCAACTATAACTGCTTCCTATTTATGTCTTTGAGAACATATGCAATAGTTGTCAATGAATTGTGTATTAAAACTAGTGAAATCTTCCTACAATCTATGTTTCTGTTGGCTTACAAGGCTTGTTGATAATGTAATGCACAGTCCCACCAATGAAAACTGACCGTTACAATAAAGCGGATAGTGCTGAAAATGATATAAACACCAACAATCTATCAATCAATAGAAGACAGATTTTCTTCTTACTGTAAATATGAATGTAATATTTGCCACTTGACAATTAGGTAACCAACATTCAATCTTGCACACAATATAAAACTAGACATTGAAAAAGTTAAAAACAGTTTTATATAGATGTATTATGTACCATATAACTTATAGTGGACCATTTTGATAATCAAGCCCTCGTTGCTAGAAACTTTGAATAGAATTTGATGGTTACTAAGTAAAATGCCACCAAGGAATCATAACGAGGGAAGATAGATAACTCATTAGATATTATGAGACAGAAAAGTTGCATGTCAATAGGATATAGTAGATATAGATTTAATATGACATTTAAATCTACATACAAAGAACATCAATTATTTAAGCTAAAGTCATGAGAGATCAGGGTGGATGTTAAGCTTTACATAGCAGCATAAGCATTGTATGTATAAACTTTAGATAAGCTATCATTTAGTTAATATTACCAAAGATCAGGGGTAATTTATATCAATCAAGACATCATTTGAGCCAAACCTTCCTTAATCCATTCTTGTGTATTTGATATATCTCCGATTTAACCTTTTAATCAAAGTTTTCTCAAGCTTGATAATTGAATGCCTTACAGTTAGCTGTTAATCCCATTAGTGTCTATGATGCTGTGGTGTCTACCATCACCAAGCTATTATATTGTTGTTTAGGTCTATACCTATTTGCAGTATAATCAGGGTGTATACAATGTTGTTTTGTACACAGGTTCTAGGTCATTGTTTAACGAGTGTGTATACCAGGCAACGATTCTTAGTCGTTAAATGGAAATGATTCCGAAACATAAATATTGTTATTCATAGGATAAAAATCATTTACTTGTTCAAGCCTGTGCTCAGATTTGATTTCTCCCTGTTCTGTGTAATAGTTGCACTAGTTATTGACTATTTGTAATACTAATTAAGGTACAGCTGTGAACAAGTTATTTACATATAGACAATAAATGTCTTTTAATGTGCACTTGCAAATCACAACTGTATTGAACAACAAGATGATGAATTCAACCTCAGTCAAATGTAGTATTAATTTCAGAACATTGAACTGATCTGTATCAACAAGTTCAGTAATATCACAGATTCTGACTTCTTTGTTATATAACATAAAACTTTAACTCGTTGATCTAGAGCTGAATATTGAAAAATATTTTATTTCTTATTTTCCTAAAATATTCTTAAGGTGCAAGAACATTTACTGGTATATAAAATACAGGGTACACGAAACAATCATTAAAAAACTATCTTAGAATTGTCTTAAAATTGTCATATCTCCAAAACCAATTCATTGATGTGCATTAAAAATTCCTATTCTGAATATATATGAAATATTTCCCATTTGACTGCAGCAACCACCAACAATTTAATCTAAAATAATTATATGGTATTGTTTAAATGATTTTGTATTAACATAGGCATCAGAAAATATGGTTTGTGATGATTTAATCATTATTTAATTGAGTTCTTAGTAAAAAACTTTTTTGCAGATTTATTTTTACAATTTTTGGTTTCTTGATATGTCTTTAATTACCATTTGAATGATATTAACTTCTAATTTGAACATCATTCAAAAGTTTATATGGAAAGAACATATCAGTTTGTAGGGAAATTCTATTGATGTTTTTTGGAGGAATCCCCATCTATATATAAACAATTTAAAGACAAGTTTACATGCATTCTACACAATGTGCATCAATTTTAAACATGTTCATTCAACCTTATTTAAGAAAATTTAGCAGTTAAAGAAAATGAGATTTATAACATGAGATGACATTTTTTAAATGTATACAAACAAACAAAAAACCTATGAAAGATAACTATTTTATTTCTATTCCAGGGACCTGAAGATGGAAAACATCATGTTAGATGAGAAGAAAAGAAACATTAAACTTGTTGGTATGCATACTCATCCCTAATCATGTTGATAATGTATTATTATCTTGTTTATTTTAACATGTTCAATAGTACATAGTATAATTCAATAAATATGGGGTAGATGTATAGGAGAGATTCAAACTTATATGGGGCACACGAGACATTACCTGTACCTTACAAAAACAATACTTTTTCCTATTGTTGTGGTCTGCATATGGCAAGTAAACTTAAAAGAACATCTCAAAGAAGTCCCAAGTTCATAAATGGTTTGCTGCAATGCAAATTATTTTAGTACCTTATCAAAATTCCCTTTTTGTCTTACCTGGCCTAAAAGGCGAGGTGAGCTATGACCATCATTAAGTGTCTGTTCTTGTCGTCCTCCATTGTCATAAACTTTAAAAAAAGATCTTCTCTGAAACTACAGAGACAAATGTTAATATCAAACTTACCTGAATATTCTTTAGGGAATCTAGTTATGCCCCACCGTAGCAGATGATTATTATCACAAAACTCAGATCAAGTTCAAATTTGGGTAGTGTCACTTTTACAGTTCTTGAGTTATGGCCCTTTATAACGTTATATGCAAATGGGGGCATCATCTGTATCCCATGGACACATTCCCTATTTATTTGAAACCTGCATCCAGGGATTTGATCCATCAACAAACATGGCTGCTGTTTCTTAAAAAAAAAGAAAACTAAGGGTCTAATTTATAACAAAACAATTTACGAAAAACAAATATGACAGACATGAACCAACAACAACCACTGAATTACAGGTTCATGATTCTTTCTATTATGAAAACTGTAATAGACAGGTAGAAATGTTGAGTGAGTGAATCACTGTAAGCTGTCTGTTATTTTATAGTGGTCAGTATATATTAGTGGAGGAAGCCTGGAGTACCTTGAGAGAACAACTGAGTTTCGTCAGGAAATCTTGCAATCCTATTCAATTGGAGATGGCGTCATACATGTAAAAACATGTGAAAAAAACAAAAACAAAAACCAGCAGATGTTCCATAATAATTTATGAATGTTTTGCATGATTTGCCTGATGATTATTTGAATAGATAGCTTTATTTGATGATAGTATAAAAACACCTAATGTCTTCCCTCCCATATTTTTAACAAGGAAAAAAATTATATATTTTGATGCCAAAAAAAAACCTAGCAGATGTGTCATAATAATTTAATTTTTTTGCATGATTTGCCTAATGAATGTTTGAATAGATAACTTCATTTGATGTTAGTATAAAAAAATCTAATATTTTTCCTCCTGTATTTCATAAGGAAAAAAATGAGCAAAAGTATATTTTGATGCCAAATTAAGTGCAACTTGTCGGACAGAAACTATAGCTTATACATTCCTTCATATCACAGCTTGATTTGTCTTAATCTTCCATAAACATGGATCATTCCTATAAATAGGAACGTTTTAATAAAAATCACTTATACAATAATAACACAAGTCATTTCTTTGAATAAAAGAGTTTTTAACTGGATTTCCTATAAATGGAATGGAACAGACAAAAATGGAAAAGTTATGGATGCAACAGAGTAATAATGTAGAATTATAATAAAAACAAGATAAGAATCAGACAACCACAAAAATCTTATTATTTATCATAAAAAAAACTATTTATGGAAATAAATGGAACAAGTCTCATTGATCTGGAAAACGTGATCACATTTGATGCCATCTTAGGGATTGTTCCACACAATTTATTGAGGACTGAATTACCAATGGTTTATTATAATGAGAAATGTTGTCATTCCATATATTGACTAAGAATTGTACTAAAGGAACTTACTCCCCCCGACCACATGAATTACCCAGACTGACCCTAATGACCTTTTTTTATTTTTTTTTTTTAGATTTTATGCTAACTTACCGGTAATTGGGTTAAAATTGTAAATAATTTAATTTTTCTCTCTTTGCTATATATAAGTCTGTTGACCATCTGTATAGGCAGCTCGTTCACAAATGGCCCATTCTTTTGTTATTTTTAAACTCTCATAATGAATTGAAAGATAGAAGCATTAAATAATGTACCGGTATTTAGAAATAGAAAGGTTTTAAGATAAAGACAATTTTACATTTTCAGTATAGATCAAGTAATCAGTGCTGAATAAATTATGTTTGACATAGATTAATATCATGGTAGAATAATTCTTCACAGTTCAAGTCTGATAACTTTTGTTCCTCCTATCAGTTTGTACCTTTAGTTGGCATAATGTTGTATAAACCACCTTATTGAACCAAAAAACTTACTGTCCATCATTGTATTAAAATTCCCTGTAAGCACTTGTAAAATCTTTATTTCAATCAATCTACTTATTTACCACCCAGAATGAGACTTTGCAGTGAAATGATTGAGGGAAATTGTACAAAGTGGCCAAATATTTGTGTAACTGATTCTAAATATTTGATATTTTTCAGACTTTGGCCTGAGTAACACCTTTACAAGAGATGAACTGATGAAGACACATTGTGGATCATTAGAATATGCAGCTCCAGAACTCTTTGAGATGAGTGAGAAATATGGACCTGAAATTGATATCTGGGCTCTGTAAGAATACTTGTCTTGCTTATACTGTTCATTCCTTCTTCCTCAGACTGTCTCTGTTATCTGTTGATAGCATGTTCCCTTTAGCCCAGATGCCTAGGTTTAATTTTTGGTATATGGTCCTCTCCTTTTACAACCTTTCTGGCAGTACAGATTAAAAGTTAATAGCTTATGACTGATAAGTTAAAAATTATTTCACAACTTCTTTGGATTCATAAATATTTGTGATATACTAGTTTTCATGGATTTTGTCTAAAGGCTTTTAAAACCATCAATTTTAATATAGCTATGGATAAAATACAACACTGACGTTACTTTGATATGAGAAAATGATGAAACCAGGAAATTAAATATCCTTTAATAGTAAAATTTTCTTTAACCACAAAAATAATTAAATGCAAAGTATAGATATATTTACCCTTTTTGGTATTGAGGGGAATTTGTCTTTGAATGACCGTAGATCTGTCTCAGAATAACCTTCTCACCGTGTATCATCAGTACAGCGGATATAGGTACTAACCAAGCGGGCATGATCGATTTTGACCTCACACGGTAACGAAAATCTTTGTTCTGTTCACATAATATCAACCTCAATCTAAACATAGTTGTTGTTTTAGGAAATGATTTCGTCGTAGGTTGATGATTAGAGATGTCTCGTTATTTTCCCAAAACAAGAACGATTACTAAAAACATGTGCAAATACTTGTCAAAGAAGTTGGCACTCGTCTCATCCGATATAATTCTATATTCATTGCAACTCTTTTTCTGATAGGAGGCCACTGTGCGTGTGTAATAAGTATAGTTGTATCAATAATTGGCATTGAAATCTTTCATGCATATTTTTTTTTAGATATTTTATTCCGAAAAGAAGCGTTGTGTACGGTGTTTAGCTGACCACATAAATCCTTCTGTACGGTGCATAGTTAAGTTGCTGTACACTGTACACAAAAACAAAATTTTCATACTTGTTTATTACCCAAAAAGTTTCAAGGAATGAGTAATCACAGGTAGGTTTATGATTGGTAACTATTACTTTTGCCATGTATTAGCTTTCTTTCAGGTAAAACATGTAAATGTCTCGACAATTGTATCGAAATTGAAAGTTGGTGTTGACATTCACAACTATTTGCGCATTTACAAGTTAATTGTTCTTATTAGAATATAAAAATTGTCTTAAAAATAGGAAAAAATCGATGCGAAAATTATTTTGGAGAAGGAATTTCAGATGTTGAGAAATGTACACTGAATGTTGATAAAACAAAACAAAGATTTTCGTTACCGTGTCAGTTCAAAATCGTTCATGCCCGCTTGGTTAGTACCTATATCTGCTGTACGATGATACACGGTGCTTCTGATGTCAAGCAACAATCACTTTTTAATTATGATGTAACTTTGCTTAAATTGTGGTAAAACATTTTGGGGAAGCTTGTGTTATTTTAAGTAATGGCGTACAAATTTGCATTCAAGTGTAAATAAGTCTTTTTAAAAATGGCATGTTCCGGCAAAGGAGAGTCTGATGCATGTAGAAGGCTTGAATATGATCAAAAATAATAAAAACAAAATTAAACACACACAATGAATCACTTTATTTAGATTTATTAAACATGTAAGTGGCACAGCAATATCATTGTCCTTGACCATGTATTATTGATATGTTACAGTGGTGTGATCATGTATGCAATGTTGGTTGGTAAACTGCCTTTCACCACAGCCTATACAGACCAATACAGACGCCAGAAGTTATTTCAACAAATAGAGCGGGGCCTGATAGAAGTCCATGAAAGAGAAATGGTTCACCTGACAAAAGGTGCATAAATTAAATTGGGTCAACATTCTAAATCTGTTGCATTTAGACTAACAGTGAACACAGTGTCTCTTGTTAAACCTGGCTTCATGTTTCTGATGTTTTAGTGCTGTGCTATTGAAAACAATATAAAGATAAGGAGATGTGGTATGAATCCCATGACACAAGTTTGTAGGAAGATTTTGAATCACATTGATTTAAGTTAAACACAAAACATTTTTTTGGTAGAGGACATTCTGTGTAACATCAAATTTATTGTAAAGAAGCATGGGAATGTAAATTTTGTAAAAGATGACTTTTTACATCGTGTGTCTACAAAACTTGGAGGCTTTTAACTTAAACTTTCCTTATACCTACTCATTTTTTAACTGGATTTTCGAAGTAAAAATCGGTTATTGATTTGGGGATGTACGGCGGGCGGACAGGCGGCTGCCAAACAGTGTCCGTTCATTTACATGAAAACGCTTTGAAGTAATTTTTTCAAATTTAGATTACTGTGGATTCATTTTTATTCGTGGTATACCAATTTTCGTGGGTTTCGTGGGTCACAGCGAACCACGAATTTAAGAATTCAACGAAGAATAATCCCGAAAAATGTGTATGGAGTCGGATGTTTATTTCCGGTTATGTTATGCAGTTCTAGTATAGTGCTGACTAGCGATAAACATTGTAACATAAGACGTGTTTTTAATGAAAGAAGATACAAGTATTTTGATTAAATCAATAACAAATATATCGAATATCAGTGATACTTTACTTTTTAAAATTGATTAAAACTTTTCATGGAAAATAACTGCAAGTTGTTAATTACCGTGTCATAGTTTGGTTTACTGCATGGTGATTAAAAATCAATAGGATTAAGTACGGGGATATTGCCCGTAGGTAATATTGTTTATGACAGGAACATTTATTTTCACACCTTTTACTTATATGACTGTTTATTATATCGTGATTAGGGAAATGAGCTTTCAATCATAGAGTTTTGAATGCCTTATGAAATTCCGACAAGAATTTATAAATTGTAAAACAAACAAATAATTAGTTGTCTCTGTTCATTATTGTGATAGAAGTTTTCAATGAACACTTTAACCTAGAATGACCAAGCGAAGATTTTGACAATTCAAAACTTTTTCAATGAATTCCTTCTTTTTTGTTTGTTTTATTATTGATCAAACAAGGAGGTTATATGATCTCCTAAATCAAAAAGAAATCCACGAATTACGTATCTGATTTTTTTTCCGTAATCAGCGATCCACGAATTTACGTATACCACGAAACGTCTTTTTTTCTCTATCCACGAAAATTAATACCCACGAAAATAAATGAATCCACAGTATGTTGTTTCCTGTGACTAAATGAAGGTCAAGTTCAAAAGACATTGTATTAATGATAAATGACATTTTGGATTTGTTTTCCTTTTCTTTGGTAAATTGTTGGAAGACAATTTACCAAAGAAAAGGGAAAAAAATCCAAAATGTCATTTTGTGGTAGGTTTGTTTGTTATTCTGTATAAACTAATTTTCTGAATGCTATATATATAATTTTTTTTTTATGAAGTGAACTCCTTTAATTAGATAATAATCTATTTTTATTAAAGGATATATTTCATTACATTAAATTGTGTAGATAAAGATGATAGATAAGTTGCAGATCTGTATTAGTTTGTGACAAATGAAAGAAAAAATATTTGGAACTATTAATTATATTTGATTATAATTTGAAAATAGATATACATTGTGTTACATCATATCTAGTTTTAGAGAACTATTTTTAGTGAAATCATATCTAATGTTAGAGTACTATGTTAAACCATATTTCTATTCAAAGGGAAATAACTCAAACTTATTCCATGAACCGGTAATGATAACAAATTTCTTTATAACTATTTTTTTTAAGTCCTGTGTGTTATGAAGGTAGATGTCACAGTTGTTATGTGGTATTTTATTTTTAATGTGTGTGTTAATGTTTAACTTTTACATGATCCTGTTTGGGGTTCAGATTTGCAAATATCATTTTCTTTATTAATTAGATAATAATCTATTATAAATATTCAATCACAATCCAAATTCAGAGCTGTTTTAAGCTTAAATGTTGTGTCCATACTTGCTCAACTGTTCAGGGTTCGACCTCTGCAGGAAAATCCTGTTTGCTGTCACTCGACAGCCTCTTGTTCTTTCTAAATTTGTTTTTCTTTTTTTTTTTAAATGTCATGTAAAATTTGATCATTATTTTTTACCAGTTTTGTAAAATTGATACACAGATTTATTGCAGTAAGCTTCCTTTTTATTGTCATACTTATATTTTATCTAACATATTTTAGACTTGATTATTGAAACAAAATAAATGGTACCATTTATATTTTGTATGACACCAAAGAACTTTTCACTGAATCTTTACTTTTATGGTACAGGAATAGCAGAAAACTAATGTTCATGCACTCCTCATATGCTGCTCAATTCATAGTTACACACAATTTATATTTTGTCAAACCATAAGGAAACACAAATATTTTCATGGAAAGAGAGATAACTCTGTTTGACTATATTTTCAGATTGTAAAAATTTGCTCAAAAAGTTGTTAGAACCCTCTTGTGATCTTCGTCTTCCATTACTGGATGTAGAAATTCATCCATGGGTGACACAGGGAGTTAAGTCGTCTTTCCATACGTTCCACAAATACCCTAAAGATAAAAACATGAAATCACAGGTAAGTTCTTTTAATAAAACTATTTCTGAAGTGTCAATTAAAAGATCAACATAGTTTAAAAAATAAACAGATTAATGCTTATTATTTGGCAGGTACTGTTAATTCAGAAATTATTGCAAGGTTTTTATTAATGCAAATAATGCTACTGGGTGAGGATTGCAATAATAATAACTGACATTCTGATATCGGATACTTATACAGGGATCTCCATGGATGAAAATTTAATGATGGAGGAACTTTCACCATGACAAAACCCTGTGTCTTCGGCATGATCGAAAGTATTTCATTCCTCCATTTCCATGTAAGGAATGATTAACAGACTGATATCGTGCTTATAATTGCTAACAAAAATGGTGGTGGCTAGCGAAACGAAACAAATTTTGACAATGGCTTGGATTATTTGACAATGGCGGAAGATAATTTAACAATGGCTGGGATCATATTACGATGGCGGAAGATATTTTAACGATGGTAGTGCGCCATCATAAAACAGGTCATGGAGATCCCTGCTTATACATGTATCTGTCACATTCTGATATCTGATACTTATACATGTATCTGTATGAAGCTTTTCCTGAAATCACCATTATCAATCTCACAATTTTGTTCTATTTTCAAAAATCACAAAAATAAATGCCACAATAATTTCTGAATTTACAGTACCGGTATACTGATATTTATCTATTCTCTTAAAAATAAAAATAAAACATTATGTCCCAAATTATTAAGTTAACAAATTGAGGGATAAGAGATGGTCATCAGAGAAATATACACAGCATTGTTTTTAAAAAGTTGTACATCTAGGTACATTTTGGTCACTAGAATTGAAAATGTATAAATAATTTATGACCCTAAGGGTCATATGCCAGTTTTTCAACAGGTATGTGAAATCAAAATCATGGGCTAAAACAATGCTGATCTAGTAATCTAGATAAATTTCATGTCCAAGGGCTGTATTGAACAGTATATCGTGCCTCCCTTTACCTATATCACCATGCTCAGTCACTCCGTAATTCTCATATTACAGCACTGAAATGTGAGCAAAACTTATCAGCGACGTCACAATGTGTGAGGAGAAGTTATCAGCTATGGGTCAATGTCTGAGGACAAGCTTACTTATGTCAAGCGTAAAACTGTCTAAGGGATGGGAAAACAACCAGAAATAGCACGATAGACAGAATATTGTGTTTTCTGTGTATAGATATCGTAAAATATCAGTCGCACGACACAATGTGAAGCTTTTTTGCTCGTTCTGTATGCTCACTTGCTTAAAAAGGTTTACATTGTGGCTCACGGATAATATTTTACAATATTAATGTGTAGAAAACCGCACTAATCTATACATATTTTATCCATATTTCATGACACCTAATTAGTTGTTGTGCTGTTTTTAACATACTACATGTATCAGCAAATAATAATTTGATAGTTTTTGCCCTTGTGATTTACACAAACCTAAAGAGTAGATATAAAAGATTTCTATTTAAAACAATTGCTTTGAAATGATCAACTGTAGAAATTCATATGAATACAATAATTTTACTTTGATAGGAATCACTTGTGTATGATTTACTAGAAACTGAGGTAATACTAATACCTGCAAGTTTTGATGTTAAAACAATTATTGTCAAATTCTTTGTAAATCTCTCCAATACCTAGGCATGGCCATTTTTGTATATCAATGTGAAAATATTTATTTTCACAATGGTTTTTGCTGATGTTTGTTGAATGGACTTTTTGAATCTTTATTTAAAGCTTTTTTTTAGACATATTTGAAAAGAAATCTTCAAAAATAATAAATATTTATCCCAAAAATATGAATGACACATTCATAACATGCAATTTGACATGTCAAGTGTCCATGTTCGGATATTTTACTATGACATTTATTTTATTTTGGCAACAATTCTTTTTATAAATACAGCTTTAGGATTTAAAAAAAGGTGAATCAGTTAGAAAAGAAAAAGTAGGATAAAGCCACATTGATAAATAGAAAAAAAGTATACAATCACACTAGCTTTATTTGGAAGAATCACATGGTACTCCTGTTTTTAGTGTGTGTTTAGTGAAAAGAAATATGAAACAACATGTCACTTGCATACATATGATACTATTAGAATGGGCAAGGATAAGATTTTAAATATATGTATCTCATTGTTTTTTTAATTAAGATCTCAGTTTTAGGTGGAATTTTGAATAAATTATGAGACATCACATGCTATTAATCCATATCTAACACTTTCAATTAAAAACTTGAATTTTGGAATTTTCCCACTTTTGCATGGTACATATAGAATGTAAATGTGTGCTGAAAGTAAAACATGAAATCACCCTTATTTGAGTTAATATAATGCTACACATTTGTATTTGCATGAAAACATTTTCAGAGAGGCAATGGAATTTTCGTAGTCTGTTATTTTTTGCTCTTCTGTTCTGCATTGGTCTGCTTGGTTTAGTTTATATATATGACAGGAAATAACCTTAAAAATTAAAACTGTTTGTTCAGTAACATATTGCTAATGTTGTGTGATTAAATAAAAACAACTATTTACATTTTATACCGGTAATTGATTGTTGATTGTTGGTTGTTTAACGTCCAGTAGCAAATATTTCATGCATGTTCAGGGGAGAACAAATTAACACTAAATACCATAGGTAGGTCCTGTAATAGAGGCTGTTTGATGATTGTCGGGGAAATTTGGACTGCCACCGGAAAATGAAGGTATATTGGATAGGGACAGAAATTTTGACTTGCAACAGGCCACCTATGACCCCTTGATGAGTTGTTGCAAAGGTTCTTAACATGCAGAGAGCATGGCACTTTCTCTGAACACTGCATCAGATTTAATGTCTCCATTCTGAGCTGATATATTTGTACATCCTGCACAGCCAAATGGACGTCCCACTTTGGCAAGGGTTTTACTGTCAGTCTGAAGAAGACCTAAGTGACCATATTTCTATTCCCCAGTCACCCTTTGGGGTTGACATTTTACATAAGAAATAAAAATTGTTATACAGAGGTTGATAGTTATGACTTTTGGTTGCAAGGATATTGGTAGTTATAGATTTGAGGAAAACTATTTTGCAATTTTATAATTTTACATATTTTAAGAGGAAATAATTTCCACCATAAGTGCAAAACCTGTCTTGAATGTCATTAATCATGTCAAGTGATTGATCTATTGATTCACCTGGACGATTGTGAAATTTGGCAAAAGACTAAATTATGTGATAATTCAATATACTTTACAATATGGCTATGAATATCCTGCAAATTGAACAATGCAAGTGAGCAAGACTGGTTCAAGTTTCAGCGCTGTGCAATCTTAGCTGAGTCAGTTATAATAACTGAAATTCAAAAATGGCATGAATTCAGACCGTTGGTTTTCTCCTTTGAATTTTTCACATTTTGTCATGCCAGGGTCTTCTTTAGCTTACCAGACTGTATGGGTTTTTCTCATTGTTTAAGGCGGTGCAGTGACATATAGTTTGTCCTTTAGTCACTGGTTGATAGCTGTCTCGTAGGCAAACACATTTATATAATAATTTACCTCTTTTATTTTAAAAATGGCTATTCTTAGAGAATTTGCACAGTCAGTTGAATTTTATTAATAATACACAACTATTTTCAAAACAAAATTATGAATGCTTAGATATCACATTGACATGTTGTTTGCACAATTTTGTTCACTTAACTGTAGAAGGTGGATCTTAATTTGCTTGTACAGCAGCATTGCTTTCAAAGCATTATAGGGTATTGAAGGGAATAGTGTGCTTCTTTTTACTCATATTGAGAAAATAGATTTAAAACTAGAGTATTGTGATGCAATTTTATTTGTATCTTTCCAGATATAAACTTATTTTAAACATTTATTTACTTGTAAAAGAGTTACAATCAAAATCATATGTGTGTTAACCAATTTTCTTGCATCTGGTTAGATCAATTTGAATTTTATCTAGATTTATTTAACACTTGCCATGTGTATAAATTTTTATTTCTTAGGTTAAACAACTTGCATCAGATTACATTATCCTGAATTTACCCAAGTCCCAAATGTGCATTTTTTTTAATAAAAATCCAAAGATTTGATTTCAAAGAAACTTTCACAGAATCTTTAGCATTTAATGTTATTGTGCACAACCTATATTATTTTTTGATCCAAAAGATTTTTCCTCTTGTAAAATATGCTATTTGCCATCTACAAAAGTGGTAAACATCTTGTATCAAAAACAACTCCTAAAACAATGACTTTATTTCAATGAAACTTTTATAAATCTTTCTTATTTAATTCCATTTTGCATCACCTATTTTCTATTTTAACCTGATAGTGTTAGGAGTTTTATGCATCAAAACATGGACATTGCCATATTTATCAAAAAAAATTCTTTGAATTTTTTAGGCACCTGGCAGTTTTTAAACTGCTCTAGATATGATTTGAGTTGAACTAACTAGTTGTGAGAAAATATGAACTAAGTTCAAGAATGTTTGCCTTGACTGGTGTGGCCTCTAATGAGAGAGATATTACCCACATACAAGGGAGAATACCATGTTCTTTCTATCATGTTGTATATGCATGTCTGTACAAAGACAGTATCATTCAGAAAAGACAATTGGCGGACATAGTAGCATGATAGATCAAATATATTTTAAGTATCTTTATGTAGTTTTCTTTGGTCAATAAAATTGGACCACTTTTCTGTGTTTTATAGTTTTAATAGATTTTTTTTATCTGATGGAGAAATGGCAAGGCCATTAATGTCCATAATTGAATACTGTTGAATAGGGACTTTAGGAGCAGTGTATAGTTGAATGGGGACTTTAGGAGCTGCATGTCGTTGAATGTGGAATTTAGGAGCAGTGTATCGTTGAATATGGAATATAGAAGCAGTGTATCATTGAATCGGGACCTTAGGAGCAGCGTATTGTTAAATGGGGACTTTAGGAGCAGTGTATTCAGGGCATAGTGCTTTTTGTAATAATTCATGTTATAAGAATAATTTTTTAATGCATTATAGTTTTCCTTAAGTGTCCTAAATATACCTAGAATGTTTTAGAACTATTTGATTTATATTGATTATAGCATGATTAGAATATTAGATAGCACTGATATGTATGAATAAATGTCCAAGTATGGAATTCTGGGAACCATAATATGTTGCTGGCAAAAAAACCAATTGGTTCCATCCAAATGACTTACCTACATAATTTTGGTGTTTTAAGGTGATAGAAGAGTTATCTTCCTTGCTACAGATGAAAAAGGAAGAGGTGGAGACAACAGTTCATGAGAGTAAATGTGATCAAATATCAGCCATGTTTAATATGATGATGGACTGTAAGAGAGAAGAAAAAGGTATACTGTTTAAAACTTTGATAGAATAATAGTCTGAAGTATTTTAAGGGCTTTAAAAATGAAAATGCTCCAACTTTATGCCTATTTACAACTGTATATATGATGTTTGACTGATGGTTGATGTTGAATGCCTCTTTCAGCACTTTTGGTTATATAACAACCAGTTTTATTGGTGGAGGACGCCAGAGAGATCCATGACATAAGGCAGGAAAACTGACAATCATAGTCTATTAAGATCAGAGTCAAACACACCTGCCTTGAGCTAGACTCAAACTCACAACCATTTATCAGAGAGATCCATGACTTAAGGCAGGAAAACTGACAATCATAGTCTATTAAGATCATAGTCAAACACACCTGCCTTGAGCCAGACTCAAACTCACAACCATTCATCAGAGAGATCCATGACTTAAGACAGGAAAACTGACAATCCTAGTCAATTAAGATCAGAGTTAAACACACCTGCCTTGAGCCAGACTCAAACTCACAACCATTCATCAGAGAGATCCATGACTTAAGGCAGGAAAACTGACAATCCTAGTCAATTAAGATCAGAGTCAAACACACCTGCCATGACTCAAACTCACAACCATTCTGTATTAATTAATGAGATATTATACAATTACTGTCTTTTGATGAGGTAAATATGTGGTTTTATTGACTTTTGAAAAACTGATATTCACTGAGGCCAAAGTGAATATCAGTTTTTCAAAAGTCAATTTAACCGGTATTTAATTAATTATTTACCAAAATCAATTGTAACATTTCCGCATTACTATACATGTAAATGCATGTGACGTTTTGCATGGTGAATATCACAATTCGTCAGGTGAATATGCTGTTTTATTCAAAATCCATTTCAGGGGCCTCGGTGGCCGAGTGGTCTAAATAGTTTCTACTGTAATCACTAGCCAGTCAACACTGAGGTTGTGAGTTCGAACCCTGCTCGTGCGGGTGCACTCGACTCCAATCTTAATTGACTAGGATTGTCAGTTTTCCTATCGAAGGTCAGTGGTTTTCTCCGGGCACCCCGGCTTCCTCCACCAATAAAAACTGGCCGCCACGAAATAGCCCAAAAGTGGTGCTTAAAAGTGGCGTTAAAACACCAAAAAAATCAAAAAAATCAAAATCCATTTCATATAGGAAAACTACTGAAATAATACCAATATGGAATATTTTCATTTATTAGGGCACAGCCGAATGGCGGGTCGTCCTATAGTGATAAGTCTGTCCGTCTGTAACAAATTGTGTCCCCTCTATATCTAGAGAACCGTTATGATTTCATACTTTATATTAACCAACACCAGAGGGTGTGTCATAATGTTTGTACAACTTCCTAGGTCAAAGGTCAAGGTCAAAAACTTTGGTTTCAGTTGACAACCCCATGTCCTATGGTAAAGATCGTGTCCTCTCTATATCTTGAGAACCTTTATGATTTCAAAGTTTATACTTCACATGTATATTAACCAACACCAGAGGGTGTGTCATAATGTATGTACAACTTCCTAGGTCAAAGGTCAAGGTCAAAAACTTTGGTTTCAGTTGACAACCCCATGTCCTATGGTAAAGATCCTGTCCACTCTATATCTTGAGGACCGTTATAATTTCAAAGTTTATACTTGACATGTATATTAAACAAAACCAGAGGGTGTGTCATAATGTATGTATAAATGTACAACTTCCTAGGTCAAAGGTCAAGGTCAAAAACTTTGGTTTCAGATGACAACCCCATGTCCTTTGGTAAAGATACAAATTTTTTAGCACACGTTATTCACAGCGGGGCCCACAGAGATGACTCCCATCTTAATGATGTCTAGTTTCTTTAGTAAGGCAATATCGGTTTTGGCAAAATTCATTGTTTGCAGTAACTGTTGCCTTTATCTAAAGGAAGGCAAATAAACCAGGAAATAAATTTTGCTCAAAATTTTCTGAAAACCATAAAAGTTGTAGTAATGATTTGTATTGTATAACTTGTTATGAATATTTTTAGGTATTTTTGATATTGATTATACTGTGTACCAAATGCCACCACCAGAGAAAAAAACCAAACGGAAGAAAAAACATCATTCACATTCAAAAGTAGAAAGAGAAGTACAAAAAGGTAAAAGGTCACGATATAAGCACCACTGTATGAAGATCTTTCTATATATTAAGGAATTAGTTCGAAATGCAGTGAAATGTCTTCCTTGATCTATTGTAAACATAATGCTACACAAAGACAACAACATCGTAGATTACTGCAAGGGGTTACAAAGGTTAACAAGACGTAACGTCACAATAATTGATTTGACAACGTCACAATAATTGATTTGACAACGTTAAAATGAAAGTGAAAGTAAAAGTTAATAATGAATTGTCAGTTTCTTTTCCAAAATGGACAACACCTCACAGGACATTCCGTACCATTCCATTGTCTTGTTAACCTTTGTAACCCCATATGCACCTCATTTTATGTACTTCAGTATTTGTTTTCTATGTTTAAATTGTCCTGAAGACGCCACCGTAAGTGGCGAAACATGTAGACCATAATAAAGATTTTCCTTGCAGTAATCTACGATGTTGTCTTTGTGTAGCATTATTTTCCTGAGGTTTTAAGACAACCACAGCATACCTCCGGGTATCCATCCTGATTACTCTCTACCAGCCTGTACCGTTAGAAGGTGTTGGTTCACTCGATGCAACTTATTGTAAACATAAATAAATTGTATCAAGTCAAAGGCATAATTGCTTTTGCAATGAAATCTATTAATTGATAATGTGAATGAACTAATCTACTTGGGCAAGACATTTAACTGAGAGATCTTTGATTAGGTAGTTTAAACTGACAAAACTACTCTGATTTCACAAGATACTGAATCTGACATTACATCTAAGTAAAGGGAGATTAATTAAACACATCAATATAAAGAAACCCCTATTCGGATTGGCTACACGAGGTGTCGAAAATTTTAATGTCATAAAAATAAGGAGATATGGTACGATTTCCAATGAAAAAAAAAAAGATGTGGTATGATTTCCAGTGAAAAAAATAAGAAGATGTGGTATGATTTCCAATGAAAAAAATAAGGAGATGTGGTATGATTTCCAATGAAAAAAATAAAGAGATGTGGTATGATTTCCAATGATAAAAATAAGGAGATGTGGTATGATTTCCAATGAAAAAAATAAGGAGATATGGTGTGATTTCCAATGAAAAAAATAAGGAGATGTGGTATGATTTCCAATGAAAAAAAAACAAGGAGATGTGGTATGATTTCCAATGAAAAAATAAGGAGATGTGGTATGATTTCAAATGAAAAAAATAAGGAGATGTGGTATGATTTCCATTAAAAAAAATAAGGAGATGTGGTATGATTTCCAATGAAAAAAATAAGAAGATATGGTGTGATTTCCAATGAAAAAAATAAGAAGATGTGGTATGATTTCCAATGAAAAAAATAAGGAGATGTGGTACGATTTCCAATGATAAAAATAAGAAGATGTGGTATGATTTCCAATTATAAAAATAAGGAGATGTGGTATGATTTCCAATGAAAAAAATAAGGAGATATGGTGTGATTTCCAATGAAAAAAATAAGGAAATGTGGTATGATTTCCAATGAAAAAAATAAGGAGATATGGTGTGATTTCCAATGGAAAAAATAAGGAGATGTGGTATGATTTCAAATGAAAAAAATAAGGAGATGTGGTATGATTTCCAATGAAAAAAATAAGGAGATGTGGTACGATTTTAAATGCAAAAAAAATAAGGAGATGTGGTACGATTTCCAATGAAAAAAAACAAGGAGATGTGGTATGATTTCCAATGAAAAAATAAGATGCGGTATGATTTCCAATAAAAAAAAATAAGGAGGTGCGGTATGATTTCCAATGAAAAAAATAAGGAGATGTGGTACAATTTCCAATGAAAAAAAAAATAAGGAGATGTGGTATTATTTCCAATGGAAAAAATTAGGAGATGCGATATGATTTCCAATGAAAAAAAAATAAAATGTTGTATGATTTCCATTGAAAAAATAAGGAGATGTGATATGATTTTCAATAATGTAATTATTCACCAATGACCAAACGATACAGATGTAAACAACTGCAGTTTACCATATGCCTTCAATAATATGCAAAAATAGTGTGTAAAAGGCCCTGGGAAAACAAAGTGTGAAACAATTTAAAAAAAACCCCACCTACTAACAACCTGTATAAGCCAAAAAGAAATGAAACACAGAAAACAACAACAACCATTGAACTACAGGCATCAGGAATTTGGCAGGGTTAAATATGTTTTTGAGCACTTAACACTCCCTTAATCTGTGACAGTGGTGTAACAGCACAACATCAGAAGAAAACTGTAGGAAGCAATTAGTTGTTTTAACAAACAAAATTTTAAAATCTTGATTAATTGCTGCTTGTCAAGAGAGTTCTTATTTTTACAAATTCAGAAAAACGTGAACTTGAAATAAAAACCTTTATATGTGAATCATTGAACCACTAGAACAAACCATTTAGGTTATGCTTGGCCTTGATTACTTGTAATGTTTAAATAAGGTTGACTTACTTTAAATATTTCTAGATTTCAGTCTTAGATTTATGTTATCATAGTAAAATTTAGAGATAACTGTATTGTATTTGAAGCTTTTCGGACGTCCATTGGTAGTTTTACTGTCGCAAATTGAGTTTACCTGGCGACGCGTAGCGGAGAAAGGTAAACGGATATTTGCGACAGTAAAACTACCGATGGACATCCGCAAAGCTTCAAATACAATACAGTTATCTCTATTCTAATGCAAAATAAACAAATCATTGAATTTTAGTCATTATTTCAGTGTAAAATTTTCATTAAACAAAAATTCTGCGAAATGATGTTATCTTCTTTGGCACATAAACTATGTGATGTCATAGGTAAGCTTTCAGCATCAAAGGTAAACACCAGGTGTTTTCTGGCTTCTTGTCTGCTTCAGAATGTAATAAAATTTGATAAAAAGAAAATTTCTAGGTGCAAAATGTAAGTTTGTTGGCTTATTATTGGAGAAATTACATGTCAACACATTACGGAATTCAAAATGTCGGCATTTCCTTAGTTACAGACAGGGAGATAGAGAATTTTACGCTTATTGTCATCCAATCAGAACCATTGATACAAAATAATTGCATTAGAATACATGTTTTTTTCAGAAGTAGAAGTACATGGAGACGAAGGACATGATGATGAACATAAGAAAACTGAGAGTGAACAACACAGAGTCAGCACTGCGTTTGATTTTATGGCTATTTGTAGTGCACCAACATGGCTTGGGCAGGAAAGACGTAGATCCAGGCGACGAAAATCATATTTTCCTCAGCCTTCGCCACTAGCTATGAATGTAAGCTATATATCATAAGAACCAGATAAATTATTCTTAAAAGTTTGGTTTTGTAGCAACATAGCCCATGTATGCTGAAACAGCATTAAACTGCTATCAATAAATCAGTAATGAATTTGCTTAGAATGTGGAGAAGGGGGAGTCGTTGATGATACTTTTATGGAAAATAATTTAATTGACATGACTTAAAGCAAGCATATACATACTGCAGAAACATTATAACACATGTAATGAATTTTGAGTTTGTGTCTTATTTTACAGGAAATTGACTCTTTTCAATGGGAAAATAATAAGGCATGCTTTTTTAAAATTGACAAAAAAATGATATCTTGTAAATAACGAAGGAGCAGGAAAAGTAGAAGAAAAAATTAAAACAAGTTGCACCAAAATACTGCTTGATTTCTTGACAAAGATTAATATCTGAGTTATTATATAAAAGTAAGAATTGTTCCTGGCTATTGCCTTGCAAATCTATTGGAAATCCCTCAAACTATGCAGACAAATGTATGAACCTTGTGTACTGATAAAGTCAGTGGTAGGAACTGTTCTCAATGGAATTACATAATAGAATGTAGAAGATAATTCAATATACTAATGTATCTAAAAGACTAATTAGATAAGCATGATATCAAATTATCCACGAAATTCTGTTATTTATTCAATTCTGATATCATATTACCGATAAGGTAACAACTTTTATCAATGTTCATCATTATTGTGATTGTGGCTTCTAGAATGAATGATGAAATTTCATTATTTACATAACAAATGGAATGACTGAAGGGATAAGATTTTTGTGATTAGAACAGTTACTTTGTAATTAGTTAAAACTATATATCAAGAAATCAGCTTGTTTTTGAAGGTGAAGAAATCAGATACTGCTCAATTTACTAAGTTTAATGCACTGATGTTACCTCTAATGGAGCAATGCATGGAAGACAAAGTCAAATAAAAACAATACTTTATAAATTTGGAACGTCTGTTAGTTTTTCCTGATTTACTTTTATCAGGTATGCTAAAGACCAAAACTTTGAAAACCTTTGGATATATAAATACTAGACGAGCTATATGATCAAATGAGACCTTTAAAAGAATAACCATAACAGTCAAAGGTCAACTTTGCCTTTATCAATTTGGCAAAAATTTGATGAACGATTATTGTAAAATGAGAAAGTATGATAAAAACAATTGTTTGATCCTAAAACTCCCAAAAAATTTGAAAGTATTGGCCTGGTAATTTTGTTGTTAAATGAAATCAGTGGCATTCTAATATGCAAGATGTTGAATGCCTAAGATACATATATGAGATGAAAATTAAAATAACTTCGTATACTGTCTAAACTGTGACAAAATGTTGATATAATTATAGATTATGGATAGTTTTTTAAAAGAGAGGGTGTTTCTCAGCTACAACCTCATCGAAGGGCAATAGCCCTTAAATGAAAAGTAGCCGATAAACATCCTTGAGTGTGAAAGACCATTGATAATCTGTTTATTGCTGTTTTCCTATGTAATGTCAGTGACTTATGTTTATGAAAAACTTGAGTAGCTTGATATGAAAAATTATTGCAAAAAAAAGATCAAATCAAAATTTAGAAAATAGCGATAATGCAATTTTATATGCTTTTTCTGTATATCTTGTTTTAAAGCTGAAATGTATTATGACATTTGTTTACAGAACCCAGATGCTTCATCAGAAGACGTGACAGGAAATGCTGTAGGAGGAGATAACCCCAATCTGCTGTCCATTCATCCTGGTTGTGTTACACCAGGGAGTGCCCAACCCTTCAACAGAAGGTCATTGAGGTCGTCTCGTAGGCGTAAAAGGCCAAGTTCCTGTGGTCCTTCAAACAGAAGATCATTACGTGATAAACTGCCCCATCACAAAGGGTCTAGTAACTCTCAGCCAAGCAGTCCAACGACTTTGATCAGTCCCATCATCACTGTAGATCCACCAAATCACAGCGGAGTAGCTCGTCCAGATAAACTTGATGTGCCTGACTGTTATGGGTCAGTGACATTACAAGTACCAGAACGAACTGTGTCCTTTTCTCACATGAATGATTCAACGTCAAATTTAGACAGTCAGTATTCTGATAGCTCAAATCCTGGGTCAGCCGTTAGTTTCTATTCACCAAATTCCAACGATACATCCGCCTCACACTCAGCTCATGGTTTAACGCCAGACTGGGCAAGGGATGGGGCCTATGAAACTGATAGTCTTGATTCAAAAATATTACCTGAAATTTCAATACCTCTTAAGAGGCCTTTAAGAAGACTAGTGAATCAAGATTCAGTTGAAGCAAGGATTGCCTCAGCTGATATCAAAAGTATTGTAAGACCCAAACAATTGTCAGCAATGCAAAACCAATCACAGCAAAAGCAGAAAAACCATACTCTTCTACCTTGTCAGGAAACAATACAAAAAGATGACAGTTCAGGGATACAACTTCATGCAAGACCACATGTAAATGACAGTTTAAACTTGCCTGGCATTGATAATGCAGATAAAATAGCGGTCAAAATTGAAACAAGTCAAAATGGAAATGATCATTTTCGATTGCCACACAAAGATAGCGTGGATAGTGACGAGAATTCGGGTAATCATTTATTAGGTTTAGCAACAGGAGGTGATTCTTTAGAAGTAGCAAAAACAACTATGCAATGTGTGATGTGTAACAAAAATACCCTGGATTATAATTCAGATTCTACTACAGAGCAAACTGAAGAAAGTGCCGATGAATTAGATCATAGCATTAAAATAATTGAAAATTCTGTGAAACAGATTGTGTTGAATGATAGATGTGATGCAAAAATTGAGCCTGTTGTTGTGAATGTAAATGGTAAAATAACTATGGAGGAATTTTGTGATAAAAGTAGTTCAAAACACAACTCTGTGGAAGATAAGTCCAAATCTGCTTCAGTGAAATCACAACTGGAAGAAATATGCAAGCCATATGTTGTTGATTTAGGAGTACCATATTCTACGAATAATTCACCCAAATATATTGAAACGAATATTGATGCTCCTAATGATGAGATTGTTTCAATACCTCCTTCAAATCGCAGGAAGAGTTCTGGAAACTCTTTGCCGTCTTTCGTGATGCCCAATACTCCTACAAGACAGAAATTCACTTCCCCTATTGCACGAATTGATAGTTTTCACAGTGAGGATTTTGATAATATTGACGATATGAAAATAAAATGTCAATCAAATTCGACAACTCCTGGTTCTGTAAATACTCCCACTTTTCCTTGTTTTGCCTATAAACTTCAGCTGCATAAAAAGAAGAATGCAAAATTAAAGCCATCTAAACAGAAAGAGGAGAATCAGATATATATCAATGATGAAAAGAATTTGTTGGATCGATTTTCAAGGTAAGAGAGGTTTTTCTCAGTGATAGAATGTAAAAAGTATATATTTATTGCTTGATTTCTGATGAATATTGTCCCAATCAGAACTTCAGCTTGCCATTAATGAATGCAATGGACTTAGGCCTACTGTTTCTAGCAGCAGCTTTAACAATGTATTAGTATGTGATTACAATTTTGACATTAGTTTATCTGTTCATTGACCATGGAAATGTATGCTGTTTTAATTTTGTTTTAAGGTAGTTTTACATGAAGTTGTGGTCACATCACCTTGAAACTTCAGACATCATAATTTAATATGATATATATCAGATAAGATATATTTAAAGAATAATCTTTTCATTGGTAATTTGAGATTTGATGATTTTAACGCAATTTTAAAACGTTTTTCACCGATTTTATGTGCTTTCTATACAAATGTGCATCTATTTTGAAAGAATTGATTCAGTAATATTTCCGAAAATAAAACAGATATTTTTTTGCTTCTCAATTTTCATTTATGGTTCAACAACCAAAATCTTTGACATAGCTCATTTATTGTAGTTCATACCTGCCAACCTCTGAAACCTTCAAAGAGGGAGATCTCCCCCTCAGCTATGACAGATGAGGGGGAGATTTTGCGCAAACAACATTTTCAAGTGAAATAATGACCAGTTTATTTATTCATCTACAAAACACATATGAGAGTTAATAGATATATTTTATTTCTTTAAATATGGTTTTATCAAATGTAAGGTGTGTTGATTGATTCTTTCTTTTTTCATCATATTTCATTTACATCCTATTAGGACAGCTTTTCAGTCAGATATCTCTGTTTCAAGTTTCCAACCATATTGTCACAGATGATGCACATTCACATTTCATAAATTTATAATCAAAACATATCTTATAAATTTCAATTCAAACATTGAATAGAAGTATAATTCTTTTATGTGATTTTTAAATTATATTTTCTGTCCTTTATTTTTGGCATACAAAATCATTTAATTGCCGTCCTTTTATGATTCTTTGTTCAATTTGTTTTTAATTTATATTGTTTTTTCAATTCACATTATTTTAAGAAGGCTAACTTAAAACAGGATTAAACAGGGGAAGTAACCCAAAATTTCTTTGAAGTTTTTTCAATAACACAAAGCTTGAAGCAGAAGTCGTTAATGATCGTTAATTAGTACTATGTTAGACACCCAAGCTGTCAAGTGAAGCCATTTAATTTCACATGGTCTGTGATTTACAGGTAATAACAACTCTCGTCAGTGACAAAAAAACGTAATTAATGTTGACTTGTAATTCAAGGTTAAAATATCCAAAAGCGGGAGATTTTATACTCCCGCGCGGGAGGGTACCGGCAAGCGGGAGATTTCCGGAATTTCATCATTTGAGCGGGAGTCTCCCACTCAAAACGGGAGGGTTGGCAGGTATGCTGTAGTTCAACCTTAAAACATATTAACTTGCATTGCTAATTTGAAGTGAATGCATGAATGCTTCATTGTCAATAAAATAGAAGTAAACTGAAAATGAAAAAAAAAGAGAAGAGAATTCATGGTAAAATTGAGTTTCATGTAAGTGGTACAAAACATCTTGTAAATATGTTTCATACAACGAGTAATATTCTTATGGGCCATTTTTACAATTACAATCTGATTATGATAATTGACTATGTGATTGTTGAATATACCAAGATGTAAATACAGAATATGAAAATAAGGAGATGTTGTATTATTGCCAATGAGACAACTATTTATCAGAGTTCAAATGATGTGGATATAAGGAATTATAGGTCACAGTACAGCCTTAAGAATCAATGGGAAAAACCATGGTCAGCTATAAAAGGTCTCTACATGAAAAATATGAAACAATTTAAACAAGAAAACTTACGGTCTAATTTATAACAAAACTATTTCTGAAGAGGTTTAATATTCTCAGCAAACATTGCATGCACCATATTTTATTAGTATACTTTGGTGGAATCTTGAATAAATCTTGCTTCTTAATGTGTTTTCTTTGTTTTCTGTTGGTGTCAAGTTTTGTTGCTGAAGAATTTTTGGATTTTTCTTATTTCTAATTTCCTGGTTTCATCAATATCATTTCATTGATAAAATTACACGTAGAGAATTTAATTCTTCATTTTCCATAAGATAGGAAATCCCTGAATATTGGTGTGCCAAAAAAATATGGACCATGATGAATGGGTTGTCAAATTTAGACTGCCACTAAATAAAGAGAAATTTAGACTGCCACTAGATAAAAAGAAATTTAGACTGCCACTAGATAAAGAGAAATTTAGACTGCCACTAGATAAAGAGAGAAGGTTGGGTAGGATGGAAATAGGGCTTGCAACATTGATTATATAGAACAAACACAAAAAGGAAATAAGATGAAGATGAATTTCATCTTTTCTAAGTTTGTTGATTAATTTGTTTTAACTTTTGTTTGTTTTTTGTTGCAGGAATGAAATTGAGCCAACCTGTTCAGATCCATTGTTAGTTGGATCAGGAAGTGATAAAAGTACATCTGATGAAAACTCTGAGAAACCTCTTCATAGTAGTAAAGCCAAAATCCATCCTATGGACAAAGGTTAGTGGCAATTTCTACATGTCCCAGCACTAAGTGGTGTTTTTTACAGCAAAAATGTTTCAAACTAGTTGAAATTTTCTTGTAATTTATTAATTCAATTGACTTTTTTCATATTACCAACTTTTGACTCGGGATTGTAAAATTTTCGTCAGTTTTACTGTTTTCTGACTATTTTGTCGTGTATAGAAATAATATAACAGTTATTATTGGTGGAGGAAGCTGGAGTGCCTTTCAGTTGGAAAATTTACAGTCTTAGTCAATTAAGATTGGAGTCTTAACACATCTGCCACATGTGGGGTTCTAACTCACCTCAGTGTTGACAGGCTAGCAGTACAGTATTTGAACTACTGAGACCACTTGGCCACTGATGACCCCCCTGCACATGAATAATTGGTCTATTTAAAGGTATTGTATTGTACAACACTATAATACATTAGACAGACTCAAATGTTGTATATGTAAGACAATGAAAATGTGTTGACATCACAGTAAGGATCTACTGCATATTCAAACAATGATTTCAAAGCTGCTTTGATCTTGGAAGTTGTTGAGGGTAAAAGCTAGTAGATTTGGACTGTCCTTTGTGCTGACCATCAAAAAATAGTCTACAGAATTCACTTACAACCACTACACATGTGTGCACAGTTAAAATATTCTGAAGTTATATATAAACTTGATAAAACAAATGAAGCTGTCATCTTATTTATTGCCAGATAGTAAACACGTAGTATATTTCACAACTATCAAAATATAACCCAAAGATACCAGGCTTATGCCAGATGTGCATTTTGTCTACATAAGACTCATCAGTGAAGCTCGATTCAAATACTTGGAAGGTTAAAACAAAAACTAAGTTGAAGACCATTTAAACCGAAAATTTCTAGACGAACAATGACAGTCATCTTATCCTATGCCTCAGAGTAAACACATGTTACACTAGTATATCTTATCCTATGCCTCAGAGTAAACACATGTTACACTAGTATATCTTATCCCATGCCTCAGAGTAAACACATGTTACACTAGTATATCTTATCCCATGCCTCAGAGTAAACACATGTTACACTAGTATATCTTACCCCATGCCTCAGAGTAAACACATGTTACACTAGTATATCTTATCCCATGCCTCAGAGTAAACACATGTTACACTAGTATATCTTATCCCACGCCTCAGAGTAAACACATGTTACACTAGTATATCTTATCCTACGCCTCAGAGTAAACACATGTTACACTAGTATATCTTATCCTACGCCTCAGAGTAAACACATGTTACACTAGTATATCTTATCCTACGCCTCAGAGTAAACACATGTTACACTAGTATATATTATCCCATGCCTCAGAGTAAACACATGTTACACTAGTATATAATGTCACAACTATCAAAATACATATATAAAGAAAAGAACAGCTAAGTTTGAAGGCAAGCTGTACTTAACCTACAATGAGATTTAAAATATTAAAACCATAAGTATCAAAGATTGGCTTTGGCTGGAGAATAAATTGAGAAATAAAAAAGGTGGTCATTTTGAAATCCTATAAGAGATAATAAAGATGTAAAATGAAGTGTGATCTATCTTTCAGATGACAAGGACTCCACAAAAAGCTGCAAATCTTTAAACAAATCTAAATGTACAGTTGATTCTGAACCTATCTGTAATGATATACAGGTGAAAAAACAACAGGTACGTGTGGTGCTGATGGTTGCAACTTCCACCTAGTCTGTACTGTAGAATTATATCTATCACTAGATGTGTAACAGCAATAATAATCACAGTGCTATATATAGTCAAATATTAACTTAGTTTGTGTTATGTCTGCAGAGATTTTAATTAGGATTTGTTAATATCGAAATGGACAAATTATGAGGCCTTCAAAATAACCAAATATATATATCAGTATAAGACAGTGAAACAGATCTAGTAAAAATTATCAATAAGTATCAAAAGTACTATTTCTTGACATTGTAAACTTGGCCTATTAAGATTTGTATTTTGCAAGAACTTCACAGAAAGTTTGCAAACCTTCCAATATGAAGTTGTTTAAAGATTTTTTCCCCATTTCCATATTTTATAATTTCATATTTTTAAATGTTCAGTAAAGACCATTTTCTTTTATTTAAGAAACATTCTGCTAAAACCGAGCCAAAACTTTGCCAATACTTCACAGATGAATTGCACACATGTATAAGATGTGCACCTACACTAATGGTACTGTTTGAGGATTTTTTCACCATTTTTGCTTACCTGGAAACCTGGTCATTTTTCAAAATTTTTAAAAAAAAATGTGTTACTAATCCCTGCAGTTTTCAACCAGATTAGTGAAATTTCATAGAAAGATTGTATACATGTTGATGAAGTTGTGAACCTTTAAGTACTATTTTCGAATTGTTTGGAATTTTTCCCCATTTTTCCTTTCTGAAACTTTATGCAACATAATTTATAAAAGATGATACCAGTTTTGTGTCATCAACTCACCCTGCAGCTAATCCAGATCCTTCAAACTTCACAGATAAACTGGACATATGTTGAAGTTGTGCAACTGTTTTTATTGAATTGTTTGAGAAATTATTTCTCAATTTTCTAAACTCAGGAACTTAGTGTCTTTGTAAAAGTACAGCAAAATTTACAAAAGACATTTTCAATTTTGTGTAATCAACTTTTGCTACAGTTTTCAAACCAGAGTTTTCAATAATTTATTAATATAACTTTTTTTTAATTTTTAAAGAAAGGGTATTAATTCTGTTTTGATTTTTACCTAGTTTAAATAGGGGAGCTGCAATATATTTTATCTATTAAAGGATTTCATCAAAAGCAGTGATTCAAACAGTGTTTCAACACACTGTGGTTGTATCATGCTGCCGCCAGGCATAGCCCTTTAAACAGTGTTTGAACACACTGTGGTTGTATCATGCTGCCGCAAGGCATAGCCCTTTAAACAGTGTTTGAACACACTGTGGTTGTATCATGCTGCCGCCAGGAATAGCCCCTTTAAACAGTGTTTCAACACACTGTGGTTGTATCATGCTGCCGCCAGGCATAGCCCTTTAAACAGTGTTTCAACACACTGTGGTTGTATCATGCTGCCGCCAGGCATAGCCCTTTAAACAGTGTTTCAACACACTGTGGTTGTATCATGCTGCCGCCAGGCATAGCCCTTTAAACTGTGTTTGAACACACTGTGGTTGTATCATGCTGCCGCCAGGCATAGCCCTTTAAACAGTGTTTCAACACACTGTGGTTGTATCATGCTGCCGCCAGGCATAGCCCTTTAAACAGTGTTTCAACACACTGTGGTTGTATCATGCTGCCGCCAGGCATAGCCCTTTAAACAGTGTTTCAACACACTGTGGTTGTATCATGCTGCCGCCAGGCATAGCCCTTTAAACAGTGTTTCAACACACTGTGGTTGTATCATGCTGCCGCCAGGCATAGCCCTTTAAACAGTGTTTGAACACACTGTGGTTGTATCATGCTGCCGCCAGGCATAGCCCTTTAAACAGTGTTTCAACACACTGTGGTTGTATCATGCTGCCGCCAGGCATAGCCCTTTAAACAGTGTTTCAACACACTGTGGTTGTATCATGCTGCCGCCAGGCATAGCCCTTTAAACAGTGTTTCAACACACTGTGGTTGTTTCATGCTGCCGCCAGGCATAGCCCTTTAAACAGTGTTTGAACACACTGTGGTTGTATCATGCTGCCGCCAGGCATAGCCCTTTAAACAGTGTTTGAACACACTGTGGTTGTATCATGCTGTCGCCAGGCATAGCCCTTTAAACAGTGTTTCTTAGGTCAGTATTTGTTTTCATATTTGCCCTCCCCTCTCAATAGGTTTCTTTAGGTTTCTATGGGAGTCTCTTCAAGATTTGAAAATTTTGCTATAAGTACAGGGAAATTTTATAAACTAATTCTGACAGCACCAAACTGAATTTTGATTTAAAAAATAATCAAGATAAACAGGAGTACTTAATCTAATTGCTCATTAATTTTTTGGAATAATTTTCCAATTTGTCGAGATATGGTTGAGGAATAATCTAATAATCTCATTAGGCAAGGTAAGCGATGCAGACTTTTTTATCCTTTCGTCATAATCAATACAGATTTCTTTTGTACATAAGTATGTTATAAGTTTTAAACGTTACAGAAAAATTAATCAGAAAAAAATTTCAGGAGACAGCATAAAAATTTTGTAAGTTGAATAAATTCATTTCTATCTTGCCATCCACAAATTATATTAAGCTATATTAAAATAACTATACAATAGCATGATTCTTCTTGGTGGTGCATTACAAGTGCATGTCAGAAACACCCATAATCCCTGGTAGCAGTTGAATTACACACACACTGGTTAAACTGATATTGTCAAAAATTGTCTTATGCATGTATGGAGAAACTAGGGATTTGTCATAATGAAAAAAAATGTTTAATATTTGATAACTAGTTAATGTTTGTGTGTTGAATCTTACATTTAACTGTTCTGTATCATCATTTTCAGTATTTTTCTTCTTTTTCTGTTTCAACAAGTAATATTCAATACTAGACATTTTAATAGGTTTTTTTTAAGAGGATTCCATTTTTCATCATTTGGTAGAATGAAAATTAAATTTTTTTACAGTTCCTTATATAGCTCTTTTTTTAAACACAATAGATTTATTTTTATTTGTTGAATACTAAATTTTCATGGATTTAGCAGGTTACTGTTATCCAGGAATTTAAGTGTTCAACTACAAATCTGTATAGAGATGAATTCGGCCACCATATCAAGTATCCAAAATTATTCATGATAATGCAGTGTAACCTCAATCAAGGAAAATAAATACCCACAGAGATATTAATTATTCCACAGTACTCGTGCCCACAACCTTGAGCATTACTGAAATAAAATTGATTGTAGCAAGTCATTTCTCTGTACTGGTTTATCAGTTATCGTTTAGCAAAGCTAAGACATGTCAGCCTTAGAAAAAATGACAAAATAATTATTTCTAGTGTTAGTTTAGCCAGTGTGTTATCTCATGTATAGGCTGCGGTTTATTAATAAGAACAAATGTTGAGCAATAAGGACCCTCTATGAACTCTAGTGCTACTAGCATCTATCAAACTCCATACAATTTTTACCTGTTACCATTTAGTATTCAAAGCATTATTTCCAACTGTTTCCATTGCATGTAATGCATATATGATATCAAATATTTGATTGTTTATTTATCTTTTAAAGCTATGCCTTTCTTTTTTTCTTTTTTTTTATTGAATATAATTACTCTCATTCCACTTTTAAAGAATATTAATGCAATTTTAAAATTTCATATATATAATGTTTTTTTCCATTATTTGTGCTTTTTATACAATGTGTGATTTTTATATTATAGAAATTTTTAGTCTTTACAAGTTACAAAAAAAGGTTTTATAATAAAACCTTTTGTGTTGAATATGAGTAATGATTGTCACAGAGGTTACTGGTCATGTGATGGGGTTTATTATCATGTATTGTATTTATAGCATATTTTCTTGCATTTGCTTTGTTTTTGTGTTGATATACCAATGACTAAATCAAAAAGCTTAATAAAAAATATGTATTTTACTTCTTCCTGAATGTTTGAAATGTGATGAGTTGGGTATAATATAAATGTATCATACTTAAGACACTTAGGGAGGAGATATTAAGAGACATTGACTTCCATTTACTTGTTTAAAGTAAGAGATATGTACTTCAGCTATCTGTCAGACTTTCATTAGTCTTAAGAGTGTTTGGAATTAAAAAAAAAGGTTATATTTACACTTCAATAGATATTGTAAATTAATTTTTTTTTTGAGGGGGCCCGGGGTGGGGGTCTAATCATAGCATCAAATACAATAATGAAGACTAACAATTTTTTAGGGGGTTAAATTTTCAAAAAGTGGAAGATTTTAATTTTAACGGTTGTTTGATTAGGACCTAAAAGTCTAGATTTCTAATCAATAATCATAGGTCTTCAAAGTATCAACTATCATACCAGTAAATAGGATATGTGTTATTTGAGATCCTACAATTATATTTGACAATAGGAGTTGTATAAAGGGCTTGAGAAGTCAGTTGAGGGATAAGGTTTTCAGTTCAGGCAGTGGTAAGGCCAGCATTGGAGTTAGGGAAGTGGTTTGGGAAGGGCTTAGTTAAAGCAAAAGTATATCATTACACAAAGTAATAAAGTTTAGTCATTTTATAACCAATTATGTGACAAGACAACCACAAAAAAAGGTCAATATTTTGTATTTTAATTGTTTATAATTTGTGGTTTTAGTTTGTTGAAAGTTGGTCTTTGTTTCTTGTTGAGGCAATGAATAAGGTATTTTACTCTAATCCAAAACCAACTTTGTTTTTACATGTCCCTGATGAATTGAGTGTAAAGGACTTTGGCCCTTGAGTGTAGACTGTTTTCAGAAAATTGCCCCTTACTTTGAGGTACTTTCAGAAATATTGAATTTTGTGTTCAACTATAATTCTAATGCAATTTGTTTGTAACAATAATTTTCATTGGATTTTGACAAATATTTTGAAGGGTTAGATTCCACGTTCTACCAGTTCGTAACTAAGGAAAGGCCACCATTTTGAATTCTGAAATTCTTTTGGTATGTAACTTCTCAAAAAATAAACAAAAAAGTCACATTTTGTGCCTCAAAATCTTCTTTTAGTCAATATCTAACCATTCAGAAGTGTATGAAAAGTATAAATATGTCTAGTGTTTATGTTTGACACCGGGAGTACACATATGACGTTACATTGTTTAGATGCCAAAGACAATAACAGTTTCACAGACTTTTCATTTATGGCATTTTTAAGCCAAAATATTCTCTAAAATAAAATTTATTTTAAGATGTGGCATTAGAATGGAGATAACTGCATTGTATTTTAAGCTTGGCCTTTGTAATCTCAATGTCAATGATAAAAATTACATGAGAATTTTGACAAATTAAGTGGACTTAAAGTAGAAAAATGTAAGATAAGAAGTAAATGTGTTTCTTTACTTGTGATTGTGTTCTTGCTTTCATTTTCATCACACATGCTGTCAAGCTCATTAAGTAATGCAGAGTCTTCAGATTTAGTTCTGCTGTCAAATAAGCATGCACATCTTTATGTTTTTTTCTTACCACAGTCTATCAAGACTTAATTTCAAGATTAGAAATATATTCACTTCATATATCATAGCTTTATAGTGACTTTTTTACTTTCATTTTCCCTCATGCTGCAGGCATTTTGATCACATGACCAGCCCTCAGGTAATCCATTCACATATTATGCATCCCAGGATTCCATGTAAAAATGGTCTCTCATGCAATGTCACATGTTTGCTTTTTAATAACCATTGTAATATCTTTTACTCAGTTCTGCTTCTTAAATCTCTTCAGTTGCAAACTGTCTTGACCTATGACCTCTAAAAGCATGAACTCTCTGAACATCTTAACTCTGACCTTTACACAAATATAAATGTGAACTGAATGTGCTGAATTTTATACATTTTCAATATATAGGTGTACTGAGTGATGCATGTTTAAAAAAGAGGAAATTTTAGGCTTCAGAGTATTGTTCATAAATATGTCAAAGGTCAAGAATTTATTAATTCACATTTCATATATTGAATATAATTTCCACCTTTGTCATCATAACCAGTAGACTTGGTAGTACTTTTATTTTGGGGTTGACCAAACCATTTATTAGAATAGTTTATTTGAACTTAGAATGCAAAACACAAATATATGAAGCCTAATTTATTATACCATACTATATATATATCCTTTTGCTAGAATGTTAGGCTGTAAGACAGCTGGTACACAAAGTATGTAACCGCAATGTGTATTATTCCTATAACACAGTCAGAGGGTCTGGGTGGGGTATACAGGATAGAAGAAGATATTGGGTCAAGACCACATAAAAATGGCAAAAAAAAAAAAAAAAATGAGAAAAATAGGCCAAAAAATTCAAGAATAGAAAATAATGGGCTGCTAAATTATAATGAATAGAGAATGATCAACAAAATAAGTAAAGAATAGAGAAAAAAGGCATACAAAATAAAAAATACAGTTTTTGAAGAATCATCTTCAGTTATTGACTTAAGTTGTTGACACAGGGAATGTTGAAACAAATATTGTTTAGAAGTAAAAATTAAAACCAGGTTTTATGACTTAAAACATTATTTTAGAAGTGTTTTGTTTCAAGTGACCATTGAATGATCAGGCTTATTGATATATCTAGCCTCCTAATCAATAAATGCCACTAATTATACTACAGTTTAAGGAATAGAATGTAAAATTTGCTTAATAATTATATTTTTTGTGTATCCACAATATTTTTCCACCCAGATAGCAACTGCAACAAAACAGCCATTTTCAATTAAGTATCAACTTCATTGTAATCGGTTAGATAAATAAATGTTAAATCCAGATGCATATATTTAGTCATAAACAAGCATGTAACCCTTAGTAATTACCTGTATATGATAATATTTGATAAACATTTAAGGGGAACATATTTAGCTCATGTAGACATTTTTCGAAGTGGACATGAAAATGAACAAAGTAGGTTTTAAATAAGAACACAAAGATTGTCGAAAGAAGATATGATATATCATAAGTATTTTATAAGCTGTATATTAATCAACCTTTTTTAGACTTTTTTGTTTTATGCCTTTACATGTGTCTGTCTACCACTTTTGTGGCCCCAAAATTACAAGTCAAGAATATCATGTATTCTGACTGGTATTACAATAGGGTAAAAGTTGTGAAAATATTACGTTAAATTTGCCAAATTTTGATTAAAGATTATATATAAAAATTGCAATAACAATTTTTTGTCTTTTATTTCTAATTCTAACATTTTAGATGATAACTTTGAAAAGGAATGTATTAAATGTTGGGTATTTGACAATAAACCTTTTTTTCCTTTTTTTTTTTTTAAGAAGCAAATGCAAATTTTGGCCAAATTGATACTTTGTAAGGGAGATAATAAAAATCTTACTTTAATCTATACATCCTATATAGGCTTACAATGTCTATTATGAAATTTTTCATGGTGCGGGAGCAGGGATTTAATTTCCATACATAAGAAATTTTTGAAGAAAGTAGATTTTCGTTTGATGTCATATCACCTCTACAGAAGCAAAACAAACTGGACATTTTCATGCTTAGGAAAATGTATGAGAGTGGCAATATCTGATTTTTGCTGTAAACGATTTTTACAGCTTGCTTTTTGGCCTCAAATAGATATTTTAATCCTGAGAATTTTGGAAGAGATTTTTTTTCATTTCAGTCATTCAAGATACAGGAATTCAATTGCATTCATTTGTTGTGTTACTTTACAGATTTGCATAATTTTTCACTAATTTTTATTTTCTTTCCAGAACTTAATAGGAAAACCATGCAACTCTCAACCTTCAGATAATAAGAAAACTTGTGTGAAATATTCTCCATGGAAACATGGATTTGTACAGTTTTTGAAGAAGAAGAAACAAGGACAAAGACAAGGAAGCCAGAATAACAATGACTCTTTTCGCTCTAACAATCATACTCTCTTAAAAACTAACTTATCTAATCATAATGGTCATGCTCGCTGTTCTTACAAAGCTCTACCTAACTCTGATGACAATGGTTTGGAAGCCGAGACTCAGTTCCAGACTAAATCACTAGCTGTTCGTCCAGGTTAGTTCAATAAAATTTCCTGAATAAAAATTCAATCAGTTATGCAAGCATGTCCAGATCTATAGGATGGATTGAAACTGATAGACTTTCCTGCTAAATTTCCAGGTGGACCATATTCAAACTTTTACTGGAAAGTTCATTACTTTCATTTCTTTCCAACATGTTTAAATTAAAATCTTGAAAGGGTCTATAAGTGATCTAGTATAAGTTACATTTGAAATAAAAAAAAAGATGCAGAATTTTCAGACTTACAGTTTACAGGATCATTTAAATACATATGTGTGGAGATTGACTTACCATCTTTCTATTGATGTGCAATTTGATATGTGGCCTTCCGGTTCAATTACTTCGATTCTTTCATTTTCAGATACTTTAGAAATCCGATCATCACCTGTCCCAGGTCTTGCTCCAGCACAGCCAGCTACAAAAATGTTTGATTTTACTGTGTTATCTACAGAATCACCACAAGCAAACTCGTGCCTTCTTAGTTGGAAAGGATGTCGTGACTGTACTGTAGGACATGTACCGTCAGACGAGGAGGTATGTCTATTACTATGTAACCAATGACAGAAGCCTTGTCCATATAAACATTTAAAATTCTTATATGTTTAGCCAAAACTGGCATACAATATGGTGATGTTGGGGGATGGGTTGTCGGGAAAAGTAGGTACTTAGTTTGTGTAATCCACTCCTCATACAGTTTTCAACCTAGATCCCTGAAACTTCACAGGAAGATTGTACATATGTTTAGTCTTGACTTGGGAATTTAATCTTTTTTGAGCAAAATTTATGATGAAGGGTACAAGGTTTTTATAATCAACTCCTCATACAGTTTTCAACCTAGATCCCTGAAACTTCACAAAAAGATTGAACATATGTTTTAAGATGTACAAGTGCTATTATGGAATTGTTTGAAGAATCTTATTCACATTTTCAGGACTTAGGAACCTAGCTATTTTCCAGCAAAATTTACAACCTTCATGTAATTGCAGCTACATCGTAAACATCCTAAATTGATTAGTCACAAATATTGCAACCCTACATTGATTAGTCACAAATATGGCAACCCGGACATTTGAAACTTTGACCCATTTTTTATACTTTGTTCGAAAATAACAATATTTAATGTAACAGTATAGGATAAAAGGACATTTAACAAATCAAGTGATTATGAGAAAGGCATGCAGTTGCCACACTTTTACGATCAAGTCTTAAATAATTGAGTTTGTCCCTGGCTTTTTTTATTTGCTCCTATAAATGGCAATCATTGTTGTTTGCTGGCTACTAAATGGCTGGGACATATAATGTAACCTGTTTGTCATTCCTTCCTTCCTTCATTCAAAAATCGAAAAGTTATTTAACATATATTGATCTTATTTTTTGTACATTTGTACATAACAGCTCGTGGACATAAAAAAAAATAATGAAAATTGAAAGTGTCATTACTGTTCTTTTAAAGTAATTTTTGTTTATGAATTGAGAGAAAATCCTTTTTAAGATTTGTTTAAACTATAACCCAGATATGATTTATATGAACCAAAATATCTGTTTCAGGACAGTGAATGTACTTTTCGTTTTGAACAGAGTGTTGATGTAGCTATCAAGACAAACATGACAATACAGAATGTGCAGGATGCAAAGACTTACACAGCTTACAAATGCTCTCATTCATGACAGCACTTCTACAGTATCAGGACGTTCATATGGATTATCTCCCTTTTATGCGATTATCTCCCTTTGGAACAAGATAGGCTGTGATGCAACATTGTCATCTTCTAATCAAACATATTTTTTTTCCAGTAATATACATTTTCTCTATAATAGAACCAAGATTGTTAGATTGAATTTTATCATATTTTTTGCCTTGTTAAATTGGTATTAATTATTAATGTGTATACCTCTTCGTCATTATTAATACTTTAGCATTGTCTATCCTGGAGTATCAAACTTGAAAGAACTGTTGTTATAAGCAGTTACTGTAGAATGGTTTATTTTTAATGGTACAAATTTTCATTGATTGAGAAAAATTTGTTTGTGAATACTTGATCTCATGGCTTTGACAAATTTTAAATTTTTGTGGAATATTTTAATAAATTGTTCACCTGTACCAACATAATCCTTAGAAATAATTATCCATGATACTAAAAGATGATCCATAGTATATACATATGATTAAAGTATCAATCTTTTTATAGTCTGTGTTTAAGTTTTTTTTGAAGAGTTTTTCCCCTTCTGCTATCTTGTAAGATGAACTTTGATCAACATAATTGAAATAAAAATGGAACACTATTTTGCACTGTACGTTTCATAAAATGAATGTTAATATTAAAATAGTATGTAGAAATAATCAGTATTTTTAGAAAATATTTTATCCGTCCAACCAAAACATTTCTGCTCATTTGACCAAACTTTACTAATTTGACTACTAACTGAACTCATTCTCAAAAATAATTTAATTATCTAGTTGGGATAAAGAAATAGAATCTATTCTTTAAATAAATTAATGAAAAACTTTCAATAAGATTTGATCATAGTGGTTTATAAGAAAAAACATTGCTACCTATCAAGTCCAGTTTAAATGCATGAAGAAATAGGGAATTGATTTTTATTTCCACAAAATTTTGTACTTTATGAACATAAGTTCTTTTACTGTATTATCTTACTGCAACCATGACTATCTTTTCATGCAGACAACTGCAGATAATGCTTTTTTTTTAATGAAAAAATTTGTAATAGTGATGGAATAACACACAATTTTTCAAAAGGAGCTAGGAGCTAGAGAAGAATATTTGAGGCGTCAAATGTTATAAGAAAAAAGATTGCTGGATTTTCTTCTTGTTATAGTATTGAGATATCCTTCTGTAATTATTTCTTAGCTTTTTAGTGATTATTTTCTCATCTATGATGCTTGGGTGCATGATAGTCTCATTTGTTTTAAGGTCAAGTAGAGAAGTAATTCAGTACCATCTCAGGTTTATTTGACATCTTCTCTTCATTCGATGATATAGGAATATTTTGGGAAACATAAAGCAGGGTTAACCCTGATATTAACATGGAACGTTTCATTATACATTAGTCTTCTATAAAAGTGTGCAAACACTTGTCAGATTTCACTGCATATATATATTCTTTTTAACAGGATTGAAAAAGACATCATTTCATGTGTTTCTTCATTAAAAACAACCATGGGTATTAAAAACTTGTTAAATGTTTTTGAATGTTTTCTTTAATTATTACTTCTATTAGTATGCCAAAAAATAGAATTTTGTAGAATACCATCAGTTACCTCACTTGACCTTGAAAATGGTACCTCACTTGACCTTAAAAACTTTTTTTTGTATCTAAAGAAGTTTGAAGTCATTTTAATTCACTAACATTGGTAGACATTTTATGTTATTGAAGAAATTTTGTAGTAGACATTAATAATTTTTCTTGCCAAGTTCATTTTAAGTTTATGCTTGCCTCATGACTACAACACCAGTATGTTTGTCTTCCATGTAGAAGGTAACAAAGACAGTTTGAAGATGAACAAAGAGTATGACAATTACAGTCCTTTAAATTGGACAATATTCTTTAAGGGAAACTTGTTATTGATAGCAATTGATAAATATGCAAATGATATAATTACCTGCAAAACTTTTTACAAAAATATCTGATAACAAATATCACTCATAGATCAATAGAATTTAATTTAACTTGCAACAAGAATTTATCACAAGTTATATGAATTGACATGACACATGAGTGATTTTTGTTGTAATATTTTTTGTAAACAAATGCTATTGTTGTAATTGTCATAAAACAAACCAATGTTTGGAGATTGTTATTTTAAGCGTTTGTACCAATGTATGTAATTTTGTATATAAGGTAGAATTTTCAACATGCCAATTTTTTCAGTGCTAAAAGTTCCAAAGATATCCATTATTCCTCCTTTTTTTAACAGTTTTTGCCCTAAGAAAGGGACAATATGTGTGACTGTGTTCCTTGTTTTTTCTTCTTTCATTATTAAATGGGAAAACAAAAGTTGAGGTTAGAAGAACCAGTTTACAATGCAAAACTGTAATGAGTAGAATATTAGGCCAAAATATGTTCATGTGTATTTTTATTTGGTGCACTTTTATAATGTTGTTTTTTAAGAATTGTATGTGATTAGGCACATTTGTGATATTTTTGTCTTAACCAATATGCCGATTAACAAAAAATGTCCTACTGCATCATGGGAGTTTTTATGTTTATTTGAAATATATTTGAGATATTTATAGCATTCTATTTATAACTGTGATCTTTTGAACCCAACTGAAAATCCTAATTTGCCCAATCTTAACTTTACTCATATTAATGTATGGCATCCCTAAAGTAACAAAACTTCAAACTTAACCATGAAAAATCGTATGCTATGGTAATTCTATTTAAAAGTCATATTAGAGATGGTCTCGAAAAGGATTGGATTGAATAGCATGCACTTCAGTTGAACAACTAGTCCAGCAGACATAACTTATCTATTTTTTTTGTCACACTTAACTCCTGTTTTTCAATGATGACTATTACAACATTGCAAGATAATATCATTGTAATAGGAAAGAAAGAATTGAATGTATTATCACATGCCATATAACCACTACACCCACTTCACTTCATAAGGCAAAGAAACAGTTCTTTTATTGTTCTTCACAAAGTCACATTGAAGCCTTCAACATGGGGCAAAAGCAAGTTTAAAACTGTCCCAAGCACTTGTAAAATAGAAAATTTGCCACTCAGTCTTCATCTGTGCATTGAGGATCACAGTTGCAGGGTAATATTAACAAACTATAAATATTATCAGGCGAAGAAATCTACCAAATATTGGCACTAATTGCCTGAAATTCTTAAGCAAGCTTGCAACATAATATACAACCATAATGCATTAGGACCTTTTTATTTTTAATTGTTTTTTTTTGTTATTGTTGATAATTGCGGGTATAGAAAAATTATAGAATTTTTGTTTTTAGTGTTTTTTGACATTTCATTAGTACTTTTCTTGATGTATATTGTATCACAACCATTTTTACTACCATTGTCTGAATCAAGTAATAACTGAAGCAACAATCATATTTTTAAGATATATATTTGTGTTCAATTCGAAAGTCAAGCCACAGAAATTAAAACCCAATATTTGTCTTCATAGAATAGACAAACTATAAAGGTACCGTAGGTCTGAAACATTCCAAACTTAAGACCCAGGATAGATTTGTGACTTTTTATGTAAAAGAAGATAAAGTTACACCTTTCATCTCAATGTATTCTCTGAGCTTGCAAGAAATACAAGAAACCAACTAATTTTTACGACTTTTGCAATTTCAATAATAGCGCTAATATCAATAGTCTCTAAAATGTGAAACTTGGATCACCACTTATATAGATACTTAAAGAAAATAAGAAAATCATGAAAGGGCTTAATGCAAAATAAAGTATCCCGGAAAATGATTTGGTTTACATATTTTGAGCATGAAAACCGCAAAAATTACACACTTGTTAATTTTCCATTTGTTTTCAACACTTTTACACATTGGTTTTGACTACCAAATAAGTTTTGATGGGGTATTCAATTTTTATATTTATAACTTGAATAACATCCACTAGCACTTTGCTACTGTATTTATTTTTATTTTTAAAAAAGAAAGTTATAAAACATCAAACAATAATAAGAAAAGACAAACAACACGATTGAGGGAAATTTAACAAACCTATTTAGTGCTTTTTTATATAAAACCATAATTTGATAAATATTCTTTAATACACCATTGAAGAACTGTGCCAGACCGTCAGCGATATTCATGATTGTTTTGTAAAAAATACTCGCCATTTACTGACATCCTGTTTTTAGAAAATTTATTTTATATGGTAAAGAGATTTTGATTTGTCAAATTTGAGGAAAAAAATATTCAAGTAGTCATCACCTGCTTTGTATTATATCCAGTGATTTAATAATTAAGGTTTGACAGCCATCGAACCCTTATTCTTGAAAAGCCATTGTTTTCTTATTTACATTCAAATATGGTATAGTATTTCAATATTTGTCTGCAATATATAAGCTACGGTTTCTGGTGTCAATCTCCAACAATTTAATGAATTGTTGTCACCAAATACCAATATACAGTACAGTGTTTGTCTGTTAGATATACTTGGAATGGGATGATATTTTTTTTTTCATTTAAAAGTAATTGTCTGGTATTATGTAAAATAGTTTGTATAATGTGGAATAAGAGATATTGATAAACCTTTCTTTGAAGCACAATACTAAAGCAGAAACCAAGAATTTTTATTTCATTAGTATGTTGTTTTGTTTATTACACATTCTAAGTCTAAAACATTTGTAAGACTTTTATCTGAAAATGTATTTAAGATGTATTATAAGTTATGAATTCCCTCTAATACAGTTTGGTTTAATTTATAATCGCTATGAAATAATATTTGTCATTTTGAGACAGTTCTGAACTTACAGTGATGTGTAAGCTTACACCCCATAACTTGACAAGTTTCTTAATTTTTTTGTAACTTGGATTGTTTTGATTTATAAACTGAGTGTATGGTTAACCTGAATTGAGACTGATACTATAATAAGCTATGATTGCCAAAAAGTCAAATGCTAAACTGACTTGCTTAACTTCTGAGACTTCTGAAATTGTATTGAGCAAATATATTGCAGTTTAATGAAAACAGAATTAACTGATAGTTGTTGTTCCACATACAAATTTACAAACCTTGAAATTTACAGCACTGTGGTTCAGATGCTGCTTTGGCAAAGTGTAGTGATTCTTTCTGAAGCTTTGTTTAAAAGAAATGACAGCTTAAATTGTCTAGAGACATTTGACTGTATCAGACATCAGAGTTTGACTATATCAAACAGGTTTCTGAACATAGTTATCTTTTCTTGTATCCTGGTGTCTGTTGCATACAGCCATTTATATTGGTTCTAATTTGTGATGATATATTGTATCATATTATATATATAGACATAACAGTGATACAAGTTTATATATGATGAACCAAATATGTATTTACCAACATAACTTGTTGGTCTTTCTTTTATCATCAGTGTTTTTGTTATTGCAGATTAAATGAAGTCAATATTTTATAAATTACACAAAAACAAAAGAGGATCTACAATGAGCTATATACTTGTATTAACATTCCTTAATTGTGTGTGTGAGTGTCACATGTGTATTTAAATGTGTATGTGTGTGAATTTTTTGTTTTTTGTTAATTTGTTGAATTTTTGTTGAAAACTGAGAATTGTGATTTTTACACGTTTTCATGTTTTTTTTTTATTGTAATTCTTCCACAAAACCATTTTCCTTGTTAAAAGGAAGGGTAATTTATTATGTGATGAATTTGTTGTTGAATTTTAAATATATGATAAGTTATCATGATATTGTAGAAAATATAACCATAATAAATGAGATTTCTTCACTTACAATATGTTTTTGTTTGATTTCAGTATCATCAGTAAATTTTAGATCCTACATTATTATCATTTCGTCTAGATGCAGTTCTATTTAATCTTTAAATGTCTTTTTGGCAAGTGGCGTCTTGGAGTTTATGTTGAGGGAGAAAACATTAAAGCCAATGTGGCTCAAGCAAATGTAAAATTAATTGTGTCAACAGCATTGAGAGTACTTGTATATCACATGAATTTACAGAGTCCTGGAAATAAAAAAAAATTGATCTAGGACAAAATAAAAACCATTGTCTAAAATTTCTATTTTTTTTTTCCAAATAAAAACAGTCCACTCCCTTCTTAAAAATAGTATGTTCATTTTGTCAAGCTTGTTTCCTAGATAGTTACTGTTTATATAGACGTTAAGACAGAATGGGAATTCAAACAGATTGAGGCTGATGTCAATGTGCATATCTGACTTGGCAGTGGTATATGTCCTTGAATGTCATGTTCGCTTAAATTTATGTTGGTGAACATTTTTTTTCTTAGAGTTTTGGTGTTGTACATCCTTGTGAGTCAGAATTTGTTGTTTAATATTCCCATTCGGTCAAGAAATTTCTATAGTGGCATTTATTTTGGTAGGTGAGACATAGGTACTTCTTTCTATTGCAGCTTCCTCAACAGCTTGAAACAATACTCAAATAAATGCAACATGTTGGCCCCACATACCTTGACCTGATTTTCAAATCTAGTTGTGAGATAAGTTTTCAGGATGAAATCTGTTCTTCAGTATCTTTACATAATAGTCAAACAATGAAGATTAGTTGCCAGGATTATGTTCTGTCTGTCACTTTATATGGCCTTGACCTCTATTCCACATCGTGTGATCAAGGTCAGTTTTCAAGATGAGGTTTTCCTCAGTAACTATTAGTTGCCAGAAGTATATGCTCCGTCTGACATTCAATTTCAGATCCAGTGGTGATGTTAAGTTTTCAGGATGAGGCCTGTTCCTGTTTTTCTATACATTATTTGTTAACAATATTCGGTAAGTGTTTAAGTAAGCTTAAGAAAAGTATATCTGACATCTTAATATATTGTCATTTTTTCAGGATCTTTTTTGTCATATAGCTCTTCAACTGTTGCGGTTCTTATACATCCTTGGCTTTCAAATACTAGTATTCAGCTTTGAGCGTTCCTGATATAGGAAAATAAAAAAAAAAACGCTTCGGACGGATGACCTTTATAACGTGTTGTTTTAATTTTTACACAGCACTGGTACCTCAGCTGGTTGACTATCAGTCCTCGAGGGTATCATCAGCTCAGTAGTCAGTACTTCGGTACTGCCATGATATATAAAACACACTTTTCTAAAATATTCCATTTAAAAATTCGAAATTAAAAAGAAACTAAGGTTTCAACCTCCTCAGGCAAAGTTTCTTATACATTCTTGGCTTTCAAATATTTGGCTCTGAGCGTTCCTGGTATAGGTAAATCCAGAAAAGCGCATCGAACGCATGAAATTTAAAATGTGTTGTTTTAATTTTTTACAGCACTAAGGGCCAGTTGGACTATCAGTTCCCGAGGGTATCATCAGCTCAGTAGTCAGTGCTTCGGTACTCACGTGATTTATAACAAAACCTCTCTAAAATTGTCCGTTTATAAATTTGAAATTATAAAGAAACTTAGGTTTCAACTCGAGCTCCCAGAGTCAAAGTTGACCTTAAATGGATTTGTCTGGATTTTTAGCTTACCGGGGCCCAAAGGGCCCCATGTGAGCTTATGCCATCACTTGGCGTCCGTCGTCTGTCGTCGTCGTCTTTCGTAAACTATTTCAAAAATCTTCTGCTCTGAAACTACTGGACCAAATACCTTCAAACTTTAACTAAATGTTCCTTATGGTATCTAGTTTATAAACTGTATCCGAAGTTTTGGTCCATCGACAAACATGGCCGCCATGGCTAAAAATAGAACATAGGGGTCAAATGCAGTTTTTTGCTTATATCTCAAAAACTGAAGCTTTTAGAGCAAATCTGACATGGGGTAAAATTGTTCAATTGGTCAAGATCTATCAGCCCTGTAATTTTCAGACAAATCGAACAACCCATTGTTGGGTTGCTGCCACTAAATTGGTAGTTTTGAGGAAATTGTGCAGTTTTTTGTTATAATCTTGAATATTATTATAGATAGATATAAACTGTAAACAGCAATAATGTTCAGCAAAGTAAGATCTACAGAAAAGTTAAATGACCAAATTTGTCAATTGACCCCTTAAGGAGTTATTGCCCTTTAAAGACAATTTTACGCAATGTGTTCATCAAGTTTGCCAACATTTAAAAATCTTCTCTTCTGAAACTATTGTGCCTAATACTTCTTAACTTTGAATGAATGTTCCTTTAGGAATCTAGTTTATGAATTGTATTTGAAATTTTGATCCATCAACAAACATGGCTGCCATGGCTAAAAATAGAACATAGGGGTGAAATGCAGTTTTTGGCTTATATCTCAGAAACTAAAACATTAAGAGCAAATCTGACATGGGGTCAAAATGTTCAAAAGGTCAAGATCTATCAGCCCTGAAATTTTCAGACACACCGACCAACCCATTGTTGGGTTGCTGTCACTAATTTGGTTGTTTTAAGGAAATTTTGCAGTTTTTGGTTATTATCTTGAATATTATTGAAGATAAAGATAAACTGTAAACAGCAAAAATGTTCAGCAAAGTAAGATCTACAAAAAAGTTTTATATGACCAAAATTGTCAATTGATCCCTTAAGGAGTTATTGCCCTTTAATGACAATTTTACACAAGTTGTTTTATGTTTTTTAACTTTAAAAATCTTCTCAAATGAATCTAGTATAAATTTTGTATTTCATTTCCTTGTACGTCAAGAAACATAGACACTATGACTAAAATGGAACATATGGATAAAAAGCAAAAATAATCATTGATGAAAGATTTAAGCAAAAAAAAAATAACAGGTGAGCGATTCAGGCTCTTGAGAGCCTCTTGTTTTATGTCCTTTTTGGTCATATAGCCCTTCAACTGTTTCGGTTCGTATTCATCAATGGCTTTCAGATATTCGACTTTGAGCGTTCCTGTTGAAGTTTAATCCAGAAAAGCAGGTTGAGAATTTGAAATGAAATGAATTAGTTACTAAAACTATTTTTACGCGTACAATAAGTTGTGATAGTTGTTCTGTTGTATGAATGAAGTTGCGTGCATTTCATTGATTAATCGAGTGACGAGGGTGGACATGAACAAGCAACGTTGCGATACTAGTACGTGACGTCATTGCCTAATATTTTCGAGTATCAAGTCCTGTCCATGATATAAACAAATATTAAGCAGTAGGAGCAACGTAAAAATGTACAAATTGCCGATAAATTCACATATTATACATCGCAGGATTCCATGTAAAAATGGTCTCTCATGCAATGTCACATGTTTGCTTTTCACTAAACTTTGTTATGTCTGTTTTACTTAATTTTGCTTCTTAAATATCTTCATTTCCAGATTGTCTTGACCTATGGCATCTAAAAGCATGTCATACTCTCTAAACATCTTAACTCTGACCTATATACAAATATAATTGTGAACTGAATGTGATGAATTTTAAACATTCTCCGTATATATATATATATATAGGTGTACTGAGTGATGGATATGTTTAAAAAAAAGAGGAACTTTAAGGCTTCTGAGTATTGTTCCTAAATATGGTAAAAGTCAAGAACTATTAATTCACATTTCAAATATTAAATATAATTTCCACCTTTTTCATAATAACCAGTAGATTTGGTAGCAGTTAAGTTTGTTCTCTAGTTTATACGGTTGGCAAAACCATTATGAGTTTAATAGTAATACCAAGGTCGACAGAGTATGTTGTTAGGCCAAAAGTCATTGTTTTGAAGTAATGCTTTGGATTCCATCGTTACGTTTATCCTACCAGAAATTCGTTCATTACGTGGTTTGAATTCGAAACAACGTGGGGTTAATATAACGCACGTCATACTCTTCAAACCACGTAAAGGACGAATTTCTGGTAGGATAAACGTTACGATGGAATCCAAAACATTACTTAAAAACTGTGATTTTGGCCAAACAATATACTCTGTCGACCTTGGTATAACCTTCGTGCATGGAACGATCGGCTTTACAATGAGCATTCTTCTGAGACACATCACTACCAAGATGGCTATAACACTTAGTTACATTCATGTACATTTTGGATATCATACTAAATTACTACAATCATGCTTTCTCTAGTGACTTGGAATGTACGCAGTATCATGTCCTCAACAATTGCTTATCATAACTTTTTAGATATACTAATAAGTTATTTAACCACTCTCTACAATTCCTTAACATATTAGACAATAATTACCACAGTAAAGGTACAGCAGACACTAATGTTAACATTGAAACCAGTAAATGTGGAAAAGGTGACATTGCAATTATGTACAAGAAAACATTGAAGTTCAACATAAAACCAATTAACTGTTCCGTCTCTGAAAGATTACTAATTTAATTAAATTTGATAGATGCTTTTGTGCTTTTTTGTAAATAATTGTTTGTTTTGATATTGTAACACAGTGATGACTGCTGTACCCATATTTTGACTATTTTATTTATAATGTCTGTTTTGTTCACGCATCGTTGTAAATATAACGGAATTTGATAAGACTGTCGTACAAGTGAGAGGTTTAGCGCTATAAAACAAGGTTCAATCCACCATTTTCTAAATGAGAAAATGCCTGTACCAAGTCAGGAATATGACATTTGTAATCCATTCGTTTGATGTGTTTGAGCTTTTGATTTTGCCATTTGATTAGGACTTTTATCTAGAAATTGACTATGAGGGTCGGTTGAAAACAAAACTTTACGACAAAAGAGATGATTTCAGCTTCCCAATTGTGACCTTTTCATTTTTAAACCAACAGTTTCAATTGGTGAAGTTGAAATCATCACTTCGTAAATTTTACGAACGCAATCACGAGTCAGTTGACCGTTATGGAATATCCGTTATACAGATGATATCGGAT